TTGCATGACCACGTTCACAGCAGCACGACTCTCGACCACCAAGAGGTGGACGCAACCTAAGCGCCCATCGACATGTGAGCACATAAACGAAATGTGGTCCATACACAGGGGGAGCCCAAAACCAGAATGATCTTCCAGAGGGCAGACCCCTCGTAGGACAGGCTTTCCCACCAGGCGAGTGTTGCAGGAACCCACCTGGATCAGTGTGCGAGCTGGGGTGGTTGTGAGAGGCTGGGTTTGCCTCAGTGAATTTTTTTTTTTAAGACTCTTTCAACGAGTTTGCCCGTTCCACGACAGGTGACGTGCGCGTGCGGCGTGGCGCACCGTGCTGGGTGTTCAGCTGTTTCTGACCCAAACCAGCACGACCCCTGTGACCCCTGTGCCCCTCCCTCCCTGTTCACCCGATCTCGCCGAGCCGACTCTTTTTATTTCCCCTGGTGAACAATGTCCTCAGAGGGAAAGGTGTGGCCGAGGTGGAGGAAGTGAAACAACAAACCGCAGGAGCACTAAAGGGCGTCAAACCAATGAGCTCAAAAACTGTTCTGAAAAGTGGAAAAAAATGTCTCGACAGGTGTACTGCATCAAATGGAGAGTACTACTTTGAAGCTGGCTGAAATTTCAACATGTAACAATACACAATTTTTAGAAGTAAATTCTGGCTTTATTCTGGGTCCCCCTCATACATATGATGGAATACTATTTAGCCTTAAAAAGAAAGGAAATTCTGATGTGTGTTGTAACAGGGATCAGCCTTAGAAACATCATACCAAGTGAACTAAGCCAGTAGCAAAGGACCAACACTGTATGGTTCCACTCACACACGGTGCCCAGAGAGGTCAGTGTTTCACGGCAACAGAGTTTTCAGTCTGCAAGATGAGAAGGGCCTGTGGACAAACGGCAGTGCTGGGAGCAGAACTGGAAGGGACTCAGTACCACTGGTCGGGCCCCTTACACGTGGTTAAGGTGGTAAATCCTATGTTGCGTGTACTGTACCCCAACTACACACATGCTGCACTTTAGGACGTTTAAGGGAGGACCAGGGTCACGCTCCCAGGAGTGTGGGGTGCCCTGGAGAGGATTTCCTGCTTCCTGGGAGTGGCAGGAAGGGGCGTTCATAGGAAAAGTAAAAGGATCAGCACGGCGGCAAGTCGGGTCAGCCATCAGGAGGCTACAGAGGAAGACCTTGTGCCTCGTTCTCTGCGCTGCTGCTCAGTTGCCAATCTGTCCTTCAACTCAGGTCCGGGCCCAGCCATAAACATCCTGGAAAAACTGGGGAGTGGACTTGACCCCCTCCTTTGCACATTAGAACCGGCAGTCCCTGGCACCCTAGCCAGCAGCTCTTCCTCAGCAGGAGAGAATTACATGGCGTGGTTCAGGCCTTTATAGACCCTCCCTCTCTGCTCCCTCCCCAGCACAGTGCGGGCTGGTACCTGGACACGGCGCTCCCGACCGCAGCCGCTCTGCCCCGGTAAGTGCCTCCTGTTCTTCACGACAGCCCGAGTCTCTCTGACTCACAGGGGTGAGGCTGGAGGCCAGAACCCATAGGCACTGAGAAGACAGACCCCGCGGGTCCCCCAGAGCAGAGCCCCCGAGACGGCTGAGTTGTGGGGAAACGCCATCGGAGTGCTGATTCACGCTGGGTTTGTTATGTCTAAAAACAGGCATTGTTTTTACATGAACCGCTCCCCAGTCTATACTCCTTCTGTACCTGCGGTAGAGATTTTAAGATTAGTTTACAATAATCTGTTTCAGCTTTGATGTCGCAGCTTGTCAAGACAGCCCCACACCTCCAGCGAGAACCGCTGGCGCCTGTCCTCTCTGGCAGCTGCGACAGATCTGATGACACTTCCAATCCCTGCACTGCAGGGCTTCACTGGCTGTGCTGTGCTGTGGCTCACGCGAAACACTTGTAGGTGTTCATCAGTCACCCACGCATTTTTCTTACTGAAAGCTCTCTGGAATATGCCACAGGATGGTTAAAAACAAACAAATCAAAAAACCTTTCCTGATGTGCAGCAGGATAGGAAATGAAGCACAGAAATGCAGTCCTGTTATTATTCAGGTGGGTAATTTATTTACAAGACTTGGATTTCAGGGAATTAGCTCCTTGTCCTCAAGGCTAGAATTGCCCTTAAAATGAAAACATCAAGCGACTTGGTGCCCTCATTAGTGGCAAGCGGAGGCAAGCCCCCGTGACACTCCAGGCAGCACGCCTCCCTCGCCCGGGCGCCCTTTCCACTCTCCAAGGAATCCCCGATCACTTCAAATTCCTTAGCTAGCGCCTGTCTGCAAGTGCACTGCCCCCTGGCTCTGTCTTCTGAGTTGGGAACTTGAAGTAATTCAGAGCAGTTTACTGCTGTCTTCCTATCTCATCTGCTTTGAAGGACATTTGGGGCTGTTTTCACAAAACTATCTTGTTCAAAACGGTTCTTCTTCCTGAAGGGTTTAGGGGCGAAGCAGAAACCGCCCTGGTGGGACCCCCGTGCTGCTCCAGGCCCCAGCCCCTCTGCTCCGTAAACAGACACCTGACACACCGGCCCGAGCACCGCCTGGGCCCCTGCGCAGGGCCTGCCTCCCTGCTGGACGTCCCGTCCAGACACACACACGGCTCTGAGGGCTCCGGGGCTGCGTGCTGTTGCCGTCACCACATGCGTGGTCCCACGCGTGGCCTGAGCTTAAACGGCCCCTTTCCAGGTGACCATGCGGTGTCTTAGATGCACCCTGCTTCCTTCACGGGCAAGTCCCCCCCCCCCCCCCCGGGGCTGCCACCACCACCTCCATGCCGATTATCCCCACACATCTGCAGTGACCAGTGGGCTCCCAGTGTCAGACTAGTCCCACCCATGACCTCACGGAGGATGACGACCACCAAACACACCCAGAGACAGGGCTGTGCCTGCCCACCTCACGCTGGGCCTCCTCCACGTTCTGTCCCTGGACCTCCCTGCTCCCTCCCCATCACCTAACCAGACCCAGGGCCTGCAGTCACGTTTCCAACAGCCCTGGACTCTGCTGCTCCTACCCCACCCCTGAGGCCGGCCCTCGCTCCTGCTCGGCTCCACGCTGGCAAGCCCTCCCTGATACCCCGCTGCTAAGGGCTGCGCAGAGCCTCAAGATCAAAGGGGGAACTCAGAGAAGCTGCCCCCCAGAGGCTAGTGAGAAAATGGGTGGGGGCAGAAGGAGTAAACGCAGCCCCCACTGGGGAAGCGGCAGCAAAGCCCAGTGTGAACAAGGCCCAGAAAGCTCACCACCCTCACCAAGGGCAGTCTGGTAAGGGGCTGGGATGGAAGGGGGGGTGTGTGGGTGGGTGTGTGTCAACAGGCGTGCTGAGGCTGGGCGCGAGTTCTGAAACAAACAATCTCTTTCCTGCCCCTCTCCCTCCCTCCCCCCTGCCCCTGCCTCAGCCAGCATCTCGCCACCTTCTGGGGTCACCCCACCCCACCGCACAGGTCGTCCCGCAGGCTGGAGTCCCCTCCTAAGCAGCTCTGCCCAGCCCCCCACACCTGAAGGCCCCGTGAGCACTGCACTGTGTCTTGTTTTCGGCTGTTCCTTAGATGCTGAGAACAGTGCCGGGTACACAACAAAAACTCAGTAAACATTTCCTGACTGAGGGCCTGGGTGTGTCCTCAGGGTCTTCCCCACAAACACGGGTTATGAGGCGGGTGACGGCAAACTGCGCCCCCCACCCCACAGAACTTTTTCAAGAGCTCGCTCCTCCAGCACTCCCCTTAGAAGCCCCTTCCACGGCCTGCCAGTGAGCCGGCCCTCGGGCCTGGCCCTAGGCACTGCCAATTCATAACAAAAGGAGGAACTTAACCAGGTCTCCCAGTCACTACCAAGTCCCCAAATGGGGAGCCATGGATGGCTTGTGATGTTTTTTGATGGGCTGTGTGGGCACCTACGTTACTGGCTGAATCTACGTAATTTCCAGAGTAATTCTTCGCAGGTCGATAGGTAGCTAATTGGATCACAAATATTCAATTTTTGTCATCCAGTTACTGAAACGGACTATGAGGAAGACTAACTCAGAGGAATTATCCAGGAACTCACCCATTATTCTACACTTGGCAATAATGGCTCAACAAAATCAATTCCTCCAAAACAGAAAGACATGACCAAATCATGTTATGCATCTGGGGACGTCACCAGGAAAGAGTCACAGATAGAGGTGGCCTGGGCCCTTTTTTCTGGGCCCATTCCTTCCTTCCTTTAGTTTCTCCCCGTGCTTGTCACGGGCCAGGCACGGTCCTAAAGGCCGGCCATTGGAAGAGGAGCCTTTCTGCCCGCCCTCAGAGGGGCGCGGCCTGAGGGGTGCGCCACCAGCTGACACAGCATCTTGCAGTCGCAGTTCTCGCAGAAGGGAAGGAGCGCCTTCCCCAAAGCGTGCCGTGTCCACGCGCCACACTGCGCAAGGCTGGACTCCTAGCTAACTCGCTGTACGGCATTTCTCGTTTGGATCCTACATCACGGAATTTTAAAAGACTGAAAATGACAACACACCATTTATATCCAAAACTTGGTATTAAAGAATGAGCAGACTTACCCTCATACAGACGCTAAGCATGCTGGGAAAATATGGCAATGCAGTTCGGTTTTACGAAACAGCATGGACATTCAGCCCGAGAGCACACACCTTGGACAGCAGGGAGCAGGAAGGGGCAGGCCAGCAGCCTCCGCTGTTGGGAAGCCGGCCGCAACCTCTGGGGAACTGGGGAAAGCGCTTCCCCGGGAAATGGCGCTGGGGACCAAGGAGGAGGGCACCGGGCACATATGATCGAGGGCAGCTATCTGTCCACACAGTGTGTGCTGTGAGGGTGACTCTACAGGCCAGCCTTCCCCCCACCCCCAGAAAGGAAAACAGCATTAGAAAAAAACCACAGAGAAAGATTCTGGAACTGAGTGAGGGTGACAGTGGTGAAGGAGCTCGGGGCTCAGCGTCAGCCGGCAGGTCCCACGGCCGACGCCGCAGCTCCCGGGCGGCGTGACCAACGCGTCCCTACCTGCCCCGTCTGGTAGTGCCGGGCAAACTGGCTGACCACCCGGTAGTCGTTCGCGAAGTACTCCATCAGAACAGAGGGGACCTCGGCGAAATCCGTGGGGCACCTGGTCCCTAAAATGAGGGGAAAGAAAGAAAAAGTTGGCAAAAACCAAATCAACATGTTTATCTTACTTTTTATGTGTTTTTAAAAAATTTTTATTTGTACTTCTGATGAACTATGATAAGTTTTAATTCATTAAATCAATATTTTACTTTTATAAAATCAATGCACATATCTGCATAAAAGTTTATTATAATCCTACATATTTTCCTATATATCAAAAGTAAAAGAAAATATTTGTACAGCTGGATAAAACACCCTGTAAAGCCGTGAGTCAAAACCTCTACAAACAGGCCTGTCTTCAGCGACGCTGGGCTGAAATGCACATTAAACCATTCTGACATTTAACATAGCATTTGTATTTAATTCACTGGGTTCCACCGCCAAAACCTTTCATCCGTCGTTTCTTTTAAAACAACTTCATTTCATACATTGATGGTTTCTTGCAACAAAGTCAATCCTCAGTGCAGACAGAAAGCAAGAGTCCTCAAAGCACCAATCCCGCAAGGACTCCCTTGGTGACACTTTATACTTCTGCCTGGCCCCTCCACAATCCTCTCACTTATCTTCTCCTCCCCCACCTGCTGTGTGAGTGAAGCTAGTTAATGAGGAGGGCATGGGAACGAGCACCAGGGGTCGAAGGCCCACCCAACCGGACGGCGCGCTGCGGACGGGCGGACCGAGAGGAAAGTCCGTAGTGTCACCAAGCGCGGCTGCAGGTCGGCATGAAAGACCGATTCTGCACCGGGGAAGTGTAAGAAAAATGAAAAGCAATGTGCTGCACCTTTTCAGCTTTTAATATGTTTTCCAACTCGCTTTGGGAAAAAGGCAACAGGCATTCATTCACTTACTCTGTGCTAGGCACTAAGAAGATATGTATTTATGAGGGGGGACCCAAAAAAACCTGAAATTTATTTACAAAAAATTGTGTGTTCATTCTTACATGTTTAAACTTCAGTCAGCTTCAAAGTGCTCTCCACTGGGTGCAATGCACCCATCGGACTTGTTTCCGCTGCTCAAAACATGCTTTGAAGTCACCAATTTTGATACTTTTGAGTGCTTCTGTTTTTTGTTTCACCTCTTCCACAAGGGCAAAATATTTCCTTTTAAGGACTTTTTTCATCAGGGAAACAAAAAAGTCACCCAGGGTGATGTCAGATGAATAGGAAGCACGGGGCACAGGGGTCATGCCATTTTTGGTCAAAAACTGCTGACCACTCAGCATGGTGTGGGCAGACATGCTTGTGAATCACCCATCGTGAAACGGGCAAACACATGAAGTCTTCAAAAACAATTCACCGAAGCCAAATGCAGCCTCTCACAACATTGCCAGCTGGCCCACTGATCCCGAGGGGGTCCGAGAGCACTCGCCCAGCAGGGGAAGCCTGTACTCCAAGGGGCTGCCCTCCAGAAGACAATTCTGGGGTTTTCTTGGGTCCCCCCTTAATTCACATACACACAGAGAGCCTTCACCTCAAATTTCTGAAGCACAAAATGTAAAACGGCACAAACTCAACAGACAACTGAGCTTACCCCTCAGTGAGAAGTGTCAGCAAGAGGAGGAGTGTGAGGGAATGGGCTGAGCAACAACCAAAAGGACAAGACGAGCTGACCTGAGGTCAGCGGCGACGGGACAATGGACTAAATGGTCAGATTTCCCACATAAAGAGCTTTCCTCCCACTTGAAGTGAAACACAAGCTTTCAAAGAACCATCTGGGAGGGAAGCGCCCTCCTCGGGGCCCACCTGTGACGTGCTGGTAGCGAGTCCGGCCCAGCATGGAGTGCATGGCGTGCCCCATCTCGTGGAAGAGGTTCTCCATCATCCCCGGTGTCAGCAGGGTTGGCGCACCCCTCGAGGAATGGGGGAGGTTCAGCATGAGGACCACAACCGGGAGCTGGTAGTGTCCATCCTCCATCCGCCTGCCCCCGCGGATCGTGAAGTGGCAGTCCTGGAGGAGTCGGAGAACGTAACAGAACGCAGCGTTAGGCAGGCCGTGTGAAGGGTAGGACAGTCTCAGTGAACATAACACCGCATTGAAATGTGCTCAAGTTCAAATTTTAACTACTCTTATTCTGTACAGTTACACACATAGGTTTTTGTCAACCCTCTGATGTGCTAAAATGTTCTTTTAAAACCTCCAACATGCACCGAGCTTACGTTGACTAATTCAGGCAACTCCAAAATCACGTGCCGAGCAGACACTGCACCGTACGCTGGGAACCCTGCCCTTACGGAGCAGAGGTCCGTGCCCCCCAGATGTGCACAAGCCAACAGGAAGCACAGACACTGGGCTCCTGAGGACAGAGAACTAATGCACACCGAGCCCCCTCATGGAGCGAGGAGACGCCCTCCACGCCCCTCATTGTCATCACTCGGAAGCGGTGAGCTCTCAACTCGCACAAAGCAAGGGGTCTGAGCAGCTCCTGGAACAGGCTGAGATCCACCTACGTTTATTGCTCGTTCTTCACAACAACCCACGAGGCACATTGGAAAACTGGGAACACTGCCCAGTACCCAAGCACACTCAGCTAGGCTGGCTGCCTCCCGGACTGGACCCGGATGGACTCCAGGAGCGTTCCTAATCACTGGCCTGCACTCCACCAGCTGTGCAGGCGGAGAGGGAGAACCCAGGACTCAGTGTCGGGTGACCGAGACCCTGGCCCCACCTTGCACGCGACCAGGGTGCCTGTACGGTATGAGCTTCATCTCTATCGCGTCAGGCCCCAGAGCAGCTGCGCAGACATTGTAGGCCCCCGCCCATGAAAATGCTTTGACAGTGCATCACTGTTCAAATACGAGGGGCCATTACTTCTGTTACAACTTATAACCTGAACTCTTCACACTGCCTGTCAAATGCGCAGACACCGTGGGTGAGGTTTACACAGAAACACACAGGAAGCAGTTCCTCCTGAGCCGCATCTCGCCTTCCACGATTTCAGCTGTCAGCACACAGCCACAGTCCGAAAGTGTCAGATGGGCAATTCCAGAAGCAAACAATCCCTCAGTTCCACACCGCATGCAGTCTGAGCGCCACGAGACCCCGCTCGCCGTCCCACCCCAGCCTCCCGGAGTGGGGGCTGCCCCAGGCCGTGACTCCACGCTGTCCCACCACCGCCCCAGTCACTTGGTGGCATCTCAGGGGTCAGATCGGTTGTCAGTGAGAGAGACCCATTTACCCAAGTTTTGTTACAGCGGTGTGGTTTAACTGACCCGTTCTACTGCTGGTCGTTGTTAATCTCTCACCACGAATCACACTGCACCCCAGGTGTGTGTGTATAGCACCAAATGCAGCCTAGAGAGGGTTCGCTAATCTCTGGTTTCAGGCATCCACTGGGGTCCTGGAACATGCCCCCCACAGTCAAGGGGGCTACTGTGTCTTCTGCAATGTCCAACCAGGCCCACTGATGAGAGTGGAAAGTGACCAGGAGCTGGGGCTCTGGTCAGAAGGTTTGGGCTCAAATCCTAGCACTTCCAGCTGTGTGACACAGGGCGAGTAACTCAACCTCTCTGGCCTCGGTATCCTCATAATGTTAGTGTCTAGTTCAAAAGGTTGAGGTGATTGTTCAAAAACAGGAAACGACATTAAAAGGCTAATAAAGTGTTGGCCATCACTATTACTATCAGTACTGACGTGACACACATAAAAGTGACAGATACAGAAGCCTATGATGGGTTTCATACTGTTTCTTTTTTATTCTACACTAATTTCAAATTCATACCTTTAGTAACTATCCTTAATGCCTTCTAATCAGGGAACTACACCGAAACAAGACCTAAAGCTCACACTGATGTAAACGAGCTGCTGACCACCTCCAGGGGGACCCGCTCACGGACGAAGCGTCACCTGGTGCGGCTTGCCGGCCCGCTGGAAGAAGTCGCAGTAGATGTGGCCCAACAGTCCCTCCTCCTCATGCACCACGGCCTGGAAAAGACAACTGCAGTTTAACCGTGGGAGTCCACAAGAAATTCTGCACGTGTGAGAACACCCCAACATCAGAATCTACACAAGGTGTGGCAAAGGGAGTTTGCAGGTGTGAGTACGTGAGTTTTTCTTGTGTATCACTATGCATTAATGGTTGGGTTATTTCCCATACGAATGAGTGCAGCCTGCGTGTGCCCCACCCACGGATAAGTCAAGCACACCAACGGTTCAGTACTTTCCCCCTCCCAAGCTGTCTTGAGACAGGTCCTGGTTTCTGTTCAGCTCTCAGAGGATTCTGAGGGGGAGTTCCGTGCAGGGGAGGAGGCACTCTCTCCTTGCTCAGGCCCTTCGCCCCGACTGCCCGTTCGTTCCCCACGACACCCGCACCAAACCCAGCTCTCCAGGCCCTTCACAAACCACCAAAATGAGCTGCAAACACGTGCAGCTAAAAAGGGGAGAATGTCACAGTCCACACAAACTGGGACCCTTGAACACGGAAATAAAGCATAGCTTCCAGATTCAGGTGGCAATTGGTACAATCATTGTTGACGCCCTCCCCCCAAACTGAGCCTATAAAAGAGGCACCACTTCCAGGAAGGGGGTCCCCGACTATAGTCTCCATCTTGCCTTCTTTGTCCTCTTACAAGTTGAGAACCTCTGCCATGGAGAACCTGTTTTATGCTTTGAAACTTCCTGCAAGCCTGTGCTCACTACTGAACACACGTCTGTTAACATGCCTGGGTGCCTGGGGTGGGGCCCGTATCAGGGAGACAGCTGTGAACAGCGGGCTGACAGTGTGGCCCGGACGGGGCTCGAGTCTTGTGGGGGGACCTCCCCTGAGCCCTCTCTCCATCTGTCACCGGCTTTTCTTTCCACTGCATCTGTGTTTTGTCCATTGCTGTCGTCTGAGGTACGTTACATGCAAACAGAGGAGGCCCTGGGCACCGCGCCCCCACTCGTACCCCAGTCCCTCTGCCACACCGATTCCATGCGGACAGAACCAGGGACAGAGACGATTTTCGTTTCTCGAAACACAGTGGGGAGCTCACAGTGTGGTGGGCACAGAAACAGCACATGAAACGTGTTAGCAACACACAGTTTTCATGACAGCCCATGGGTCGACAGTCCTCAAAACCTTGTCGGGGAAACATAAACACACTCAAACCCCGAACAAAGGGGGCCCAGGTAGGAGGTGGGTGGGTTCCAGGCAGGAAGGTACTTCCCACGAAGTCAGATCAGACCCAGGACTGAATGAACGTCTGATGCAAATGAAGCTCCTACAGAACAGGCAGATGTTGGAAGGAACGAAAGGTGACCGACACAGTGGACGCGGAAAGAACCAGGAGGGACACGCAGCACAGCCGGAGTGGAAGAGAGTAACGAGTTTTCCTTCAACTGCAACTTGTTAGTGTACAGACTCGACCCCTAGCAGGCTCCTGGAGAACAAACCCCGCAGTTGTGTGCCCACTCTCACCCAGTGCCCGGTGTCAGCAGTGGTCGTGGGGATCTGTGTGAAACAGGAATAAGGGGAGACCCACTCCATCTGGGCAAAGCTACTTGAAGATGCGAGCGCTGGTACCCGATGACCGAACCTCCCAGATAAAGCGAGGAGACCTGTCATGGACTGAGATGCTCACCAGCTTCCGAACATCTTCACACCACACCTCTCCCCTCGCAGGCGGCTCTGCGTACAACGAAATCCCAAACAGTCTGTTAAACAAAATGTTAAGGCCTTCCATGCACGCTCCAAGGGAGAAAAATGGGCAGTATATGCTGGGCTCGATATTATACCTAAGAGAAAGAACAAAGGTTAAAAGGCATTTTTGGTTAAGAAAAGCATTCAGTTTCTTAAGGTAAATTCAGAGACCTTTTCATTTAAAATTTAGAATCATATTAGCGATTTAAAATGAGTTAAGACATAAAGGTATGTTTCTATCTTTTGATAGAAAGACTGTTCTCTTCAGAAGAGCAGTGTAAATAGTGCTGGTCGTACGTAACGAAGGTGGGCCTACCATTCCCTTCAGGTTCAGTCTGTCACTGACTCGGTTAAGCAGTCTGTCAATCTCGGTTAACCACAATGTACACAATTTTTATTCTACATACACTTATACACAAAATCTCATCAATCTGAGCTACAGTGGTAAACTTGACTTTATGAAATGTGCTACAGTCTAAAGAATTGTGACTTAAATCACGTAAATATTAAACAAATATGAATCCTGGGACATATAAACTCAACTGAAAATTCATACCTGATAAAATATTTTTAATGGAAAAATCTCTGTAATATAAACAATTAAATCTTTATTTGTTTTACAGTTATAAACCAAGGTACATCTATAATGTGTGATATGAATATTCATTTGAGTCACTAAATCAAGCCAAACTTTAGAACCAAAGTCAGAAACGAGGGCTCCAGAATGATAGTAAGTACCTATTCTATTTTCACTTTCTGGGATTAACAAACCAGAGACACGCAAATTAAACATACACAGACTCACGCTCATTACTAAATGGGTGACTAGATTTAGTGAGTGAGCATAAATTGCATCACAAATGAGATTCTGGCTACAGAAATCCAAATGTATGACTTAGTTTCCATCAATTAAAAAACAAAACCCAAAAAATGGAATCTTTGTGTTGAAAGACACACCAGTGGTCCGCTGCCCCCTGCCTCACTCATGCAGGTGGTCAGCAAACCAGCTGGATGCTGCAGGTGAGGAGCGGGCAAGCCTGTCTCCCAGCAGCTCACAGTGAGCGAGGCAGAGACCTGAGCCAACCGCACTGTCTCCCACGGCCCGTGCAGCGGGCGGGGCAGGTGCTCAATGGACACGGGTCGGAGGGAGTGGGTGGCAGGGAACTGAGTGTGGGGACGTGCACTGTGGAGTGGGGGCTAGAAACAGTGAGGGGCCCCAGAGAGAAGCTCGGATGCAGGCGTGTGTTGCGCAGGGCGGGGGTGAGGGGTGGGAGAAGGGAATTCTGGGAGAAGCAGCAACGAGACAAGAGCATGAAGACACGCGGTAGCCTGTGAACTTCCGGTAACCAGAGTGCAGCTCCACTTTATCACAGGCGCGTGCAAGGGGAAAACAGCAGATACCGCGCTTGCCGTTCCCCATGGCTTCAGGCACCGAGGTGGCCCTACAGTCACCCATCCCCTTCGGGTGAGGAGGGCCTCGGGTACCGAAGCCGTTCGGCACAGACACTTGTTTCGAGGTGAAGTCGGCGTTGTGCCCTGTGCCCCTTGCTCTTGTGCACATGCCCCAAGTGCCCTTGTGAGAGGGAGGACCAAGGAAACCGGAGCTCACTGCTAAATCTTCACAAGGCTAAGGAGATGGAGAAGTGCCCGACAAGCAAGGAAAAGAGTGGGCAATGAGAAAGTGGGGAACAGGAAGTTGAGGGCATGCACTGAAGAGAAAAACTTAGGAAACGCTGAGCAGGGTCAGAGGCTGCGGAGGCGATGGGCGTGGAGCGCGGACACAGTGGCTGCGTTTTACTGCTGGCAGGTGGCTGACAGCACACAAAGACCCGTCTGAGGGACTGGCAGGCCATGAATCAGAGAGCAGGATCTGGACCACGCTGGGGAGGGTTGGCCAAAAAAAAAAGAGAAAGAACTACGATCTCGCCCAGAGTCCTGTGAGGGGCAATTATTCGTGTTTTAAGATAAGGGATATCCTGGGTCCCTGGCAGGAAACGGGAAGAAGTTAACAGAAAGGAGGAGATTAATGGTACACTACAAAGAGTCGATGAAGCAAACCCTGCAATGGTTTGCGATAATATTATCTCATATCTGCTCAGTGCTATATAAACGCAAAGCACTTTCACATCCAGAAGCTTTCATGTTCCTTACATGGTTCTGTGAGGCAGGTAGAAGGAACACTTGAGGAAACTGAGGCTCAAAGAGGCTCCGGACCATGCAGAGCAGCCTGGGAGAGGAGACCTGCATCTGAATTAAAACTCCTGGAGGTCTCGCTTACTGGTTCTGTGCTTGGAACCAGTGCTTGGCCTGTTGGGGCCTCGATCTCCTTGCCAGGAAAATGGGGATACTACTTCCTAGACTTGACTGGTGAACGAATACACACACACAAGGAGCTGGCTGATGCCGGGAGAAAGGCAGGTGCTCTGTAAATCACCCCAACTCTGAGAGGGGGCCCGAGCCTACGCAGTTAGTGAGTACTCACTCCTGGACGCCTGACCACTCCTGGATGGGAGGTGCTGTGGCCACAGAGAACAAACGGTTCAGCCAAAAATCAGGGAATGGGGCACATTTCCTGGGCATAGAGCCCAGCGAATCAGGGCACAGAGCACTGGGGAGCAATGATGAGGCTGTGGCCGATCCCACCTGCCAGGAGGCCTAGGGTCTGAATGTGAAGATCAGGGAGAGCTGCTCGGAGGAGGGGGCATCTGAGGTAGACATGGAAAGTGAGTTCCCTGGCTGAGGGAGAGGCGTTCGAGATGAGTGAGCACCAGCAAAGGCTCACGGGTGTGACAGCGAACAGGGCATACAAGCTCACTCAAGCAAAGATCGCCTGCTACCTGACTCAGCCGCCTCAAAGCAAGGAGGTGATCACACACACCTGCACGCTCCACCACGCCCTCAGAGACTCTCACGAGTGGGAAGTAACTCCCTTCCTGAAGAGCAGCCAGAGTGGGAGAAGGCTCAGAGGCTGTAAGAGATTCAAAGAGCCTGACCCCTGCAGGGCAGTCTCTTCCAACAGGCAGGTCAGGAGGCAGTGCCTGGACCGAGGGGCCCCTGCCTTTTCACCTCCACAGGCATCTTCAGCAAGTGTGGAGTGACCCAGCGCACGTCTCAGTGGTCCCAGGGCCTGGAGCCCCACAAGGATCCTCGCCAGGGGCCACCCAAGCTCAGGACCCAGCTGCTCCCCGCCTGGTCAGAGCTGATGAGCGCTGGGACAGGCTCCACACCCACCCGTGCACCCAGGGAAAAGCCTGGGCCTGCAGCTCCTTCACCCACCACTTCCTTACCGCACAGAATCCAGACAGCAAAGCCCCTCCCCCTATCGGTCATTTGTGGGAGGGGGAGTCCAAAACAACAGAAAAGCACTGAACCCAACGGCAGATCACAGCCGCAGTCCAACAGAAGGAGACGTGTGAGTGTGTTTTCCGGATTTCATCTCGTGGCTATCCCTCCCGTGCCTCACACTCCTCTGCAGTTTCACAGCAGAGCTCTGCTATTCCTGTAAATCCACTGCACTGATATGAATCTGGAAAGAAGCCTTCGATTACTCTTCCTCAGAAAGAAACAAGAAGGGAATTACTGTGATCCACCACTGTTGCTAAAGGAAGTTTAATAAATGCTCTGCTCTGTGTTCTACTTAAAAATGTGCTACATACGGGCTTACACATTTTCGATTTCAAACTAGATACATTACAATCAACATGGTAAAGAGGTATAACCATGTCTCGTTAAGAACAACAGAATGTACTAATATCTCAAAATCCTCAGGAGAAATACTGACTATCAGGCAAGTAAGTACAGAAATAGTCAATGAAAGATTTTCAGCTAAAGGGTTCTCTGTTGTGACTCGAGTTTTGTTTTTCTCTCAAGTCAGTGCATCACACTGAAGCACATGCTGAGTCAGACTTGTTTCGACTCCTGATGCACCTGGAGTGAAGGTAAAGAGCAAACGTGGGTGCAGCCTCCAGAAGCGCTGGCACTGGACTCGGTGAGCACACAAAACACAGCTGCCTCCGGTGCACACACTCAGGCTGCACAGCCTCTTTCCCCAGTCTCGCCCCTGAGTGAGGGCCAGCGACAGGGGCGGGCGGGCGGCGGCCTGCCCGAGGGAGGGACCGTGCACGGGAGGGAGAACGCGGACCTGCCGAGAGCTGCACGTGGGACAGCCCTGGCAGAGACGCTATTTCTAACTTTATCAAAATAAAAGAAAAAAAGACCGTTTTTGGCATCAGAAATGATTATCTAAGCATGATGATAATGTGATTACTGGGTGGCATTTTGCATTATTTAGTCTGCAAAGCCGCAGGGAAAGCTACTGTTTCATCTGGTTAGAGAACGGTAGAGGAGCACTGGAGAACCAATGAGGCTAGAAGCCTGTCTATCCTCCCGCTAATTACACTGAAAACAGAGACTGGCCCTGGCCGGGCAGGTCAGTGGGTTGGAACGTCCTCCCAATGTGCCAAGGTTGTGGGTTTGATCCCCGGTCAGGACACAGACAGAAGCAGCTGACGAGTGCATAAATGAGTGGATAGCAAATCAATGTTTTTCTCTCTTGCTCTAACAATCAATCAATGAAAAAAAAAATCTTTTTCCTCTGTTTTGTAAAAAATCAGCCATTGACACTTTGGCTCCATCTTGACCTCTGAAGTCGAGGCAAGAAAGCTGCTCCACCCACACTGCCTGCTAATCAGGCAGCGATTTCCCGTAGCAGTCGATCAGCTACACGGTTCTCGTGAAACAGAGCTCGCCCAAGTCAACACCGCAGGTAACACGCACAGCACGATGTCCTTCGTGCCCCGGCGAGGCAGGGGCCCAGCCGGCAGGCTGACTTCAGGGTGCTGGACGGTGCGGGGCCGCCGGGTGACAGCCCTGTTCGCAGGGGCTGGAGCCAAGCCTCAGCCCAGCACTGGGACCTCGCCCCACTCCGTCTCCCCACCAGCCTCCTGCACATACCGGCACGTGAGGTTAAAGAGCCAGGGCTGAGATACAAGAGCAGAAGAACCAGAAACAGGGGGCGGCGGAGGGGAGCAGCATCAGCTCACAGAACCCGGGGAGGAGAGACCAGCGGACGACAGAGGCCCCCGAGCTCTGCAGGGGGAGCAGCCTGTCCCTTCCACAGGCCGGGGACTCAGGGAGCTGGGGGCGCCGCAGGGCCTGCCCTGGCGAGAGAGGCTCCGGGGACAGAGGTGGCCAACGGGGTGGCAGCCTCGCTGCGGCCCTGGAACAACAAGCCCACGGGGAAAACACCCATTTGACACCATCAAGGAAATGTGGATCCGGACTGCCTAGCAGACAATGCCAGCAAACTGCAGTGAACTCAGGTACTGGAGCTACATAAAAACACCCATATTTTAGACACACACAATGAATATGTACGAGTGAGGTGACATGAGGTCTAGGACGTACTTTAAAGTACTTCAGTGACAAGAAGCGGGAAGAAATAAAGACAAAAAAGGTGAAGCAAATGTGGCAAAATCTTGACACTTACTGTATCTGAGAGATGAACGTATGGAGGTTACTTATATCGTTCCTTCTGTTTATTTTTCAAGTTTGCACAGTGAAGGTCATTCTTGAACAGACAGCACCAAGCTCACCACGCGCACACTAACGGAGTGCACAATTTCACGGCCAAACAGAAGCCTTCATTCTTCTGAAACGCCGCAAGACCGCCCTGCCTCGAGAGTCCCACGTCTTCTGAGTAGTTCAAAGCACAACCCATTCCCGCTGCATTATGTGGACATTCTGGAGATTCAGGGTACACCTTAGCAAGGAGCAGACCATACTGGTTCTACCTCCCAATGATATCCTTACACAGAATAGCCCCCAAATAAAAAAACATACAGTTCCCTGAAACTCACTAGCGGCAGGAAAGAAGAAAGTCTCCAAGCACCAAAAACAAGCACCACAGGCTGGCAGACATAAAACAGCTTCAAAAAGGCGACCTCTGGGGGCCGAGGCCTGGAGGGCTGCTGTGAGCAGGGGCAGGATGGGATCGACCTTCTCAACATGAACGCTTTTCAGTGTGGTTTTGAGTGTTTGGGCCTTGTTAATGTACTGCCTGTTCAAAAATAAAATGCCATTTTAAATAAAGTGATTTCAGTATACTTCTTATAATTTATTTATTTTAGAGACAGGAAGAGGGGGTGGGGGGAGAAACATCACTGTGTGGTTCCACTTAGTCACGCACCCACTGCTTGATTCTTCCGCTGCAGCCCTGGTGTTTCACCAACTGTGCTCTAACCAACTGGGCCACCCGGCAAGGGCTATACTTTTCAAAATTTAAAAAAGTGCTTTTACTTTCCAGGAAGAACCGACCACTGTAACTTGAAAAAGAAGAAAACGAGCTGTTCTTTAAGATTTACCATCAAGCCAACCTTAGGCAGTTTTACAGCACATCAGTTTCTTGTCTTACTTCTAATGGGTTCTTTCTTTTCTTTGGGCGGACATTTAAGAAACCTAAAATAAATCTGAGATATTTCATATAAACAAACAAAAAAAATGTCCCGGGGTTAACTTCCAGAACAGCTCAGATCCAGGAAAGCTCCTTCTGGTTTGGTGCTCCTCAAACCGCGCCCTCAGGTCTATAGCTGAGGAGAAGAACTTAATGAACAAGGATTTAGGAATCTTCACTTTGTTCCACTCTTCCACTCTCACACACAAACTCCTTTCTCCTTCTTTGCTCGCCCATTACCTGTGCTTCTCAGAATACTTGTGTCCATCAAGATTACTGCCACTTCAAACCAACTCAATCGGTTGCCTTTTAAGCTACTTACAATACGTGGTTTAGACCCCCCAGTTCTTACAATCCCCTCCCAAGCACCTGTGCATCACTTTTCCTGAGATAATAGCAAAATAAGGGAATGAGTGTTGAGACCCTAATTAAACAAAGCGAAGCCCCCAGCCGGTGTCAGGCTGGCTGTGCCCCGTTGCTCCCAGAAGAGCTGCGATTTCCTGCTCCGAGCACCAGGCCTGACGGAAACCCCTGTCAACCAGGGAGCAACACGAAGACCTCCAGATGCTCATGCTGCTTTCACCAGATCCGATCAATGAAAACCTCATTCGCAAAACGTATCACTGGGCTGCTTTTACTTAGTAAGAACTTCTCATCACTGGCTGAGACACAGGCTTGAACAAGGGCTACCAACCGCGGACCCCAAGAAAGAATACACCTGCCAAACGGGACTCCTTGTGGTAAACGGGGCCCAAATTCACAATCAGAGCCCAGAGCCCTTGCCTGCAGGGGCGTCTCATGCACAGGGAACCACGACGGCTGCACGCCTGCTGCTCTGCCTTCCTGCCGTGGGCCAACCTCCGCACAGGAGTCTGTGCACTGTATTTTAACTGGTGGGCTAAGACCCACCTGCTGCTCGGCTACAGCCTCATCTGCATCTTTACCAACTAGAGGGGCTCCATAATGACCAATTAGAACAGTACTATGCGGACCAGACTGTACAAACTTGGATTCCTCATCTGCATGAAAAGTGGATGCATCAGAGACCAGGGCAGGCCCTTTCTCTACACAAGCAGGCTCCCTCTTTTTCAGGGGTGGGGTGCACACTTTTGGAGGATGTTTCCCAGGTCTGCAAACTGCTCGCCTGGATGAACCTTCTCCTCCGACCTCACCCCGTGCTGGGCCTCCTGCTGATGTTGGGTCAGCAGCAGCAGCAGCAGCCTGTAGTCGGCACACCCAACACGCGCTTACTGAGAGCCCTAAGTCTGTGTTCTGCACTTCGCTGCAAACACACTTTGTTCTTAAGAGCTTTAAGACTTGGCCGAGAAGACACATCTAACAGAATGACCGAAGGGCCTGTAAGCGGAAGGCCAACCGTGCAGCGTGCGGGCAGTGACCGTGGTGGAAGCGGGAGTGCGCGGGCCAGTGCCGGCGTGGGCCGTGTAGCTCGCTGCTGGGTCCGAAAGTGGTTTCAACTCCTAAACCGCTAAGGAGCAGTTACATGTGTGCAGTCCTAAAATTACTGCAGCCCTATGAAGGCAATCATGATGCTGACGTGGCCCTCGGGGAACATGAGTGTGACACCCCTGGTCTGGAAGAATGCCCGCAGACGCCAAGTCCATACAATAATGCTACTTTAGTGCTAATAATGCAGACGCTGTTTCATTAACCCTGACCCACGGCGCAGGGACTGCAACAAACCCCGTCTGGCAGACAGACTTGCTAAGAGACGCAGAGAGGAGAGGTGACGTCCCACAGGTCACCCGCAGCTCACTCACTGAGAGTGGAGTTTCGTGACCCACGCTGCAAAGGTGGCAGGCACCGGCCGCCGGCCAAGGGGCTGACCTACAAGAGACGCAGGCTTGCACGTGGGCGACGGAGGGAGGGGGTGGTTGATGTGCCGAGTGCTCAACAAACACTGACGTCCTCCTGCCTTCCCAGAGGACCTTACCTTTCTGCACGAAGCACGCCACTGTAGTAGGGGGGGTCCCAGGGCATTAATTCCTACAAGGGAAAAACTCACTGTTACGAAAGCTACTGACTATTTCACCATTTCCATCAATAGTTTAGCTAGCTTATAAAATGTAAACCTGTTTTTAAGTCAGAAAAGTCCTACGATGCCCTGAGAATTCATGACTTGGCAGGAAATAGCGGCCTCTTTATTTTAGTTTCCTGTAATCAATGTGTAGAGAGGCCTAAGTGAGGCATAATCCTGGAATTTGGGGAAAAGGTAAACAAATGTCATCCTGAAATGTAAACTAATGAAAGTCAACATTAACAGATTAAATCAGCCCTGTTGAAGTTGCTCCCAAACTGTAGCCCACGTACTAATCCATAGAACACAGTGTAGGGAAGATTAGTGTACTAAGGCTAAGATTAGGTTCTTTCTATACCTAAGCAAGAAGCTTAGGGTGGATCCCCAAAATGAAAGCAACCGTTTATAATGTAACTAAAGCAGAATTAACTCTAATCTCAGCAAAGAAAATATGTCATAGAGAAATGCACTGCAGTAGTGATTTTCATGACAACTGGAAAGGGCACCGAGAGGGAAAGAGCTGGAACACCTGAAGGATCGTGTCCGCACACACCGTTCGCTGACGAGCAGAGGGGTACGAGGCAGGGCACGCAGTCAGCGCGCTCGGGCTCCGGTCTTGCCTCTGCAGCGGCTTCAGGACTTGGGAAAGCACCTTCTGCTCACCGGAGCTTTCCCGGTTGCCTTCCAAGTGACCGGACCTCACCCGGAAAGGACCCTGAGCCCACCTCCTGGGACTCTCCCCCCCTTCACCACACTCTGGCCACAAAGGCCTCCTGGTGGTCCCTGCTCACAGGGGCCACCTCCTGTCACAGGCGTCTGCACCTGCCGCTTCCCCCCTTAGAGCGCCCTCCTGTGCCAACTCCATGGTGGGCTTCTCACTTCTCCCGAGTCTCTGCTCAAGCTATGGACCAGCACCTACAGAAAGCAACTGCAGCCTTTTCTCCAGTTTTCCCTGTAGCCTTCATCACTGTAGGACACGGCACGTATGGATTTTCCCGTGTTTTCCTGCCCTAGAATGTGAACCCCGGTGACACCCTAAGTGTGGCCTGAGCCCCTGCGTAAGTCAACAGCACCCCCTAAACAGAGCTGTGAACGCGCTGAACCGTCCGACCGAACGCCTGGCACTGCGCACACGTTCCATACAACATGTGGTCACGAGGGTCCAGGATGGCTCCGGGGGGAGCCGGGTGAAAGGCTGGAACACCAACCTGGCAGCCACTGTCGTCTGGGGGAGAAGTAACGACGGCCTCGGGCAGGGCTGTGGCCATGTGCACACAGAAGAGGGAGCTGTGGCCTGCTCAGGAAGGCAGAACCTGCGGACTTGACAGTGACTATGGGGGTGGGGGTGAGGCACAGGCTGTGGGCGTCCAGACTCAGTGGGTCTGGCACAGGGCTCCAGAGTCGGCACTTCTGCCAAGTTCCCAGGGGTGCCACCCCTTCTGGCCCAGAGGACACGTGTGGAGAGCAGCCGACCCACGGCAAGCCCAGGTTCTGGCTCAGGGAACGGGGTGAATACAGACTTGGGGAGGCCGCTGGCCAGAGAACCGGCATTGGCAGCCACACGGAGGTGTCTGGGGAGGGCAGTCTCACGTCTCGCGAGCTCTGAATCCACTAGCTTCTGGCAACACATTTCACATCCCTCTTCCTACATTCCTCAGAGGCAATTCTGACGCACGACCCAGTTTCCAAAGTCGGCTTGCCCACTGGGCCCATGCGGGAACACAACTAGTTACTTTACTGGGCATGGCTCCTGCCTTAAATCCAGATAGTGACTGGCTGCTCTGGGGGTGGAGACTTTGGTGGAGTCCATCTAATCCTCAGTGGCAACACCGGAAGCTGGCTCACAGCCCATACGGAGAAGGGGGTGTCGCAGGGTCCTCACCCTGGGCGCCCCATTGCTCCCCGGGCCCCCACTCCCTGGGCCGGCATCCTGGTCATCAGGACACATTAGTCTGGGCTGTCAGGTCAGGCGATCACTTGATCTGTGACGGGAAATAGCAAGTGCCTTCAGGGCAGGTGCACGTCGTCAGTCACCTGTGTGTCTGCTCCCACAGGCAGGTGCCAACTGCCAACCTTCCCCGAGGCTCCGTAAAGGAGCAGCCTACTCTTTGTGGAAAGGCAGCAGCCTCTGCAGGAGTGCGTGTCAGCACACAGTGTCAATGCATGTTGACGTGTGTGTGTGCGCACATGCATCATGCCAACTGACAGCAGAGCGTGCCGCGGTTCCTGGGATTTGTGTGTGCGTGTGCACATGAGTTCCTGGGACTGTCAGACCCAGGGGTCCGGGTCAGACGCTACCGTGCCTTTACTGCCACAGTGGAGGACTCGACTCAAAGCCACAGACACCTCCGGTGTCACCAGAGTCCCAGAGTCAAAGACAACGACCTCACAACGACCTCAGCAGACCATCTGTATGAATGCACGTGCTCCAATGCAGTTACTTACTGAACTTTGAGGATTCAGTTTCATCTTCATCCTGCGCATCATCTCGAAATCTTTAACAGTTCTGTAAAACAGGTTTGTCATTAACCGTTACACAAAACTGGAGTAATGGTATTACAAAAAACTAGTGCTTATGTTACTTTCCAATGTTCATGATAAAATTAGAAGTAATTTGTAATGCAAATAGAAACCAGTATTAATCCCAAGATACACGTCTTGAAAGTACTAAAGCTGAGAAAAATGAGTGATTAACAGAAACTTTGGAAAATACAAAGTATTACACCATGTTTTTCGGACTATAAGACACACCCCCCCCAAATTTGGGAGGCATAATAGTTGTTAATACTGCTGTTGAGTTCTGTTTACATTTACACTGGTGAAACATTATGTTATTTGTTATTAAATATTTACCACATTTTTTGCTTCAAAAAATTTCCCCCTATTTTCCTCCTCTAAATCCTGGGTGCATCTTATGGTCTGAAAAATACAGTTATCTACAAATATTTAAATACTTACTGTTTGCTATATCTTAAAAAGGTAAAAATCTAGCATATTACTTCCTATAAAAGAATATTAATAAATTATATTTAAAATTAATATTCATAATTTCCCCTATAGAAAAACACTAGCCACACAATAATCAAATGCATGATCAATATTTGTGGCATATGAAGTTCCCATTAGAATTAACTATACTATATATAACTGTAAAAATCTGAGGATGTTTACTCAAAAAGTAAAGTACATACAAATAGAGAAAAAATACTAACACTTAAGCAACAAAGCAAAGTAGAATAAATTCTCAAATAACTGCATAACTAACACTCCCTCTTTATTATATCAAAGCCATAGTTATTTCCTGGATTAAAAGAAAAATTTAGAATTTATAAATAAAATCCAAATTACAAAGAATTAGAAAGGCATGAGTTTAGAATAGAAAATGAAAACTTGAGCTAAAATTCAACATGCCGGTGTAGTCAAAAAAACAAACGAAATTTTAGCACTTTACGAAGTCAGAGAACTTGACCCTCTTTCTCTTTTACTAAACTTATCGGGGTGACATGGGGTAATAAGATTATATAGGTTTCAAGTGCACGATTCCATCATTCATCTTCTGTGTATCTGGGGTTTGCCATCCAAAGTGGGGTCTCCTTTGTCACCAGGTATTTGCCCCCCTTTACCCTTCACTTCCTCCTCCCACCCCCTTCCCTCTGGTAACCACCACACTGTTGTCTGTGTCTTTGAGTTTCCGTTTGTCTTGTTTGTTCATGTGTTCACAGCTTTATATCCCACAAGTGAGTGAAGTCACATGGTCCCCAACTTCCTCCACCGGGACCCTCTCGGACAAACCATGTCGCACCCCTTCCGGGCCCCGAGGTGGGCGACCCTGCTGGAGCCCTGCCCTCTGCACAGCCCGCAGCCTGCAGCCTGCAGCCTGCAGCCCTGGACGGGGGCTGGGGAAGGACCGGGGCAGACACAGGCTGGGCATTGGGCCGGGTGGGTGTGAAAGTAATGCAGGGACTCCCAGTGCGGAGGTGGAGGGAGGTGGAGGCGGCGGCACGCACTTCTGCCTGACAGCGCAGAGGGTGGAGGGGAGCGTCCTTGAAACACACTAGACGAAAACCCAGGTCACCGACCACTTCTGTGGATGGCCAACGTTTAGGCCAACAGGAGAAAAACACCATTTTCTGAGCTTGTCATAAAACTGAGGCTATAAACAAAAATACACAGTTTCAAAACCGCTTGGGGAATTTCTACACTGCCCGTCGGAGATGACCTCCTAAAGACAGATAACCAGAGGGGCTGGCCGCTGCCCCTCCAGCCGCCGCCTCTGCAGGCCACAGCGTGCTTGTTCAGGGCTGAGGGGCACCGCCGGGGTCAGCAGCTTCAGTCCCGAGACAGCAGCCCCTGTTCCAGCGCGAAGGCCCTGCAGAGACCACACCCTAACACTTGTGTAAGTAATGTCCTCAAAAGAAAAGCCCAGAAGACGAACAGTATCTATTCTAAAGAGTAGAATAAAAACTAACCTTTCCGAAAGTTTGTCAGACAGTTTCTCAAGGAACTCCATGACAGTCTCTAAAAATAAGATCCAAAAGAAAATATCTTTAATTACGAAAAAAAATAAATATACCTGTAAAAGTTATAATGTCATGATTGTTACTATATACTATAATGCACTCAAATTGATGATTTTTAAAGAGGAAGCAGCATTGCTAACATATACTAGGAAAATAGTAAGTTGTTGGGAACCGCTCTGCCTAGTTTCAGGAATTGTAACTGCCCCCCCATGGCTAAGGCTGGATGAGCAACCTCTGGAATGCGAGCCACTAAGGAGACAGAGCTTGTCTCTGGTAGCAAACTGCTTCTGTTTCATCCCCTGCCCCCAATACTTGGTCAGTTAGTCAGAGACGGGTAAGACCCCTCAGAGGAGGGGCAACCTAAGCCAGACATGATCACTTGGTAGGCCATCATGGAAGGACTCGGGAGGAGGGCTCCGGACAAAGAGGGAGTGATGGACCCTCGCCCCCCTGGCTATTCTGACATAGCCTGAGTCCCCATTTCCATCTGGGAGAAGTGCTTCCTGGCTCTAATCCACTTAAGCCTAAAAACCTACAACGGGGAAGGCAGTGCAGCCCTTTGCCAGCTAGAATGGGTTCCAGGGTGATCGGGCATAAGAAAGAGTTCCTAAAAGTCTTGTGAAGCCTGCTTTGCTAAGAGTGCTTTCATTCATATGACAAGGGTCCGAGCAGGAAATGAGTATGTCTCCCAAAGTTTTTGCAACCCCCTTACCTGACAGACTCTGACTCAGTCTAAGCCCTCAGATTTCTTTGAAATGTTATCTGTTGTTTGATCCTTGCTGCCTGACATTGATTGACGAGCTTTATCTGTATTCCTGTGTGTTCCAAACCTACTAAAAGCTGTTGAAGAAGAGGCTCTTGGTCCTTCTCCTGTGAGAGACTGACCACCTCTCCTCCCCAAGCAGATCTCGTCTTGGTAGTTTCACTTTCATCCGTGGCGGATGGGGGGACTTGAGGGCAAAAGTCCCGCAACGGACTCTGATAATAATCTATCAGAAAAACAATTCAACCAACACAGTAATAATCCAAAGCCTTAGGTTATACCACAAAATGAAGAGTTAATGGGAGACTAAAAAAGAAAACTTTAAATTTCAATGTGTTTCTATCTATTCATATGTGTAAGAAAAAAGTTACTTGGACATGCCTAACTTTTTCTGAGTTTTAAAGAGATAGCAAGACCAATCTGTAAATCAAATGCAACACAAAACCCAATCCAACAAGAGGTGACTCCTGGACACCCAGGCACCCGCAGCAGGGAAGCACTGACACACACGGGGAGAGTGGCCGAGCCACAGCGGAGGACTCGGGCACTGGCCTGGGCGAAAAGCGGGTCACCAGACTGCTGACAAGGAAACGGTGGCCTTAACCCACAGAGTGGACGAGATGGCCTCAACAGACAGTTATAGAACATCTCACAGAAAACACATTTTTTTCAGGAATAGAACATTTTCCAAGATAGACCATGTCAGGCCACAAAACAAGTCTCAGTAAATTTTGAAAGACTGAAATTATATCAAGTGTCTTCTCCAGTCTCAACGTTATAAAACAGGAAATTAAGCACTAAAAGAAAACTGGGAAAATACAAAACATGGAGGCTAAACAATACGCTACTGAATAATCAATGGCTTAATGAAGGATTCAGAGAGAAATTTAAAAAATTATCTGCAGAGAGATAAAAATGGAAACACAATAACCAAAAATCTCTGGGGCACAGGAAAGCAACTCTAAGAGGAAAATCCATAGGGATACAGGCCTACCACAAGAAATAAGAAAACCTTCGAATAAACAATCTAAACTTACACCTAAAGGGCCTAGAAAAAAGAAGAACAAAGCCCAAAGTGAGTAGAAATAGACTAACAAAAGATAAATAAAAAGGTCAACAAAACTAAGAACTAGTTCTTTGAAAAGATAATAATAATAATAAAAACCACACATAAACTTTTAGCCAGTGAGAGGTACAAATAAAATCAGAAATGAAAGAGGAGTGATGGCGACTGACACACAAGCACAAAAGTTCTTAACAAAACACCAGCAACCCGCTGATGCAATGCCCATTTTCACAATACGCTAAAAAGATCACACACCACGATCAAGTGGGATTTGTTTCAGGCATGCAGGGTTGGTTCAATATCTGCAAATAATCAACGTGATATACCACATAAACAAAAAATCATAAGATTATTTCAACAGGTGTATAAAAGGTATCGCCAAAAATTCAACATCCAGCCCTGGCTGGTGTGGCTCAGCGGATTCAGAACTGGACTGTGAACCAAAGGGTCACCAGTCGATTCCCAGTCAGAGCACATGCCTGGGTTGCAGGCCAGGTCCCCAGGAAGGGGGCATGTGAGAGGCAACCACGCAGGGGGAAAAAAATTCAACATCCATTTATGATAAAAGGTCTCAATAAAGCTGGTATAGAAAAAGACACACCTCAACACAGTAATGGCCAAAACCGACAAACCCACAGCTGATATCACACTCAATAGTGAAAACTGAAAGCTTCATCTCTGAGGTCAGGAACAAGACAGGGATGCCCACTCTCACCACTCTATTTCAACATATTATTAGAAGTGCTAGCCATAGCAATCATACAAGAAAAATAAAAGGTATCCAAATTGGAAAGAGTAAAATTGTTACTATTTGCAGAGGACATTATATTATACATAAAAACCCTAAAGATTCCACCCCCCAAAAAACTATCAGAACTAATAAATAAATTCAGCAAAGTTGCAAAATAGAAAATTAATAGTCATAAATCTGTTGTTTCTTTACACACATAATAAATTATCACAAAGAAAAAGTTTTAAAATCCCATTTGCAATTGCAAAAAGAATACCTAGTAATAAATTTACCTGCGAAAGTAAAAGACCTCTACACTACAGACTAGGACATCGATGAAAGGGACTGAATAGGATACGACAAATGGAAGGACATGCCATGCTGACGGACTGGGAGTATTAATGCCACTAAAACGTCCCTTCTATTCAAAGCAGTCTACAGATTCAGTATAACTCCTATCAAAATACCTGTGGCATTTTTTCACAAAAATAGAACAATTATTGCTCAAATTTATATGGAACCACAAAAGACCTTGAACAGACAAACAAATCATGAGAAAGAAGAACTAAGTTAGAGGTGTAATGCATCCTGATTTCAAACTATACTACAAAGCTATAATAATCAAAACAGTATGCCAGCAAAAAAAAGACATGTAGATCAGTGGAACAGAACAGGGAGCCCAGAAGTAAAACATACTTATATATGGTCAGTTAATCAATGACAAGGAAGACAAGGATATATAACGAGGTAAAGACACTCTCTTCAATAGGTATGCTGGGAAAACTGGTCAGGTACAAATAAAAAAAACAAACAAACATAGACCACTTTCTTACACCATATACAAAAACAAACACAAAATGGGTTAAAGAATTAAATGTAAGACTGAAACCATAAACCTACTAGGAGGAAACACAGGCGGTGAGCTCTTGGGCATCAGTCTCACCAACAGCCAGTTGGAAGCATCTCCTCGAGCAAAGGCAACAACGGCAGAAATGAACAAATGGGACCACGTCAAACTAATAGGCTTTTGCAAAGCAAAGCAAACCATCAACAAGATGAAAGAAGGTATTTACAGATAATGTATTCAATAAGGGGATAATATCTGAAATACATAAAAAACTCACACACTAAACATAAAAAACAAAATCTAATCAAAAAACGGGCAGAGGATCTTACTAGACATTCCTGCAAAGAAGACATACAGAGAGCAAACAAATACGTGAAAAGATGCTCCACGCCACTAATCAGGGACGCGAAAATTAAAACCACAGTGAGATGGCAGCTCACACCTGTCAGAATGGCCGCGATCACGAAAAGACAACAAACCACAAGTGCTGGTGTGGCTGTGAGGAGAAGGGAGCCCTTGCTCCCCACGGTAGGAATGTAAACTGGGGCAGCCACGCCAGAAAGGGAAAACAGTAGGGCTGTTCCTGAAAAAATTCAAAACGTCGCTACCAATGACCCAGCAACTCCACTTCTGGGTATAGACATCTCTGAAGAAAACAAGAGCAATAATTCAAAAGAACACATGCAGCCCTGTGTCCACAGCAGCACTGTTGACAAGAGCCAAGGTATGAAAACAACCTGGTGCCCACAGACAGGCGAAGGGAACGGGGACAGTTGTGGCACATACATACAACGGAACGAAGCTCAGCTATAAGAAGAAAGAATGCAGTGTCGCCGTCTGAGGCAGCGTGCATGAGCCCAGAGGACAGTGCGCTAGCTGAATAAGTTGTACAGAGAAAGACCGGTACTGTGTGATTTCACTTATACGTAAAATCTCAAAACAAACAAAACAGACGCAAACTCGCAGACAGAGAACGAGCTGATGGGTGCTGGGGGGGGAGGGGGTGGCAGGCTGAGCCCAGAAGGGGAAGAGAATGAAGCACAATGCTGCCAGTTACGCAAACAGTCCGGGTGCAGCGAGCAGCACAGGGGACACGGTCAGTGCTGTCATAATAACTAGGCATGGTGACAGATGGTTACTGGACTTGTTGCGGTGATCACTTTGTAAGGCACATAACTGCTGAATCACTATGTTGTACACCTAAAAGTAATGTAATATGGGAATGTCAACTATAATTAAAAATGAGTTCAAAAGTAATTTTTTAGGCTAGAATTTCGGTTCCATAAACACTGTATTTTGTCCTTAGGGTTGGGTAAGCAGGCTTACCTGGGTTTTTCGCTATCGTCCCTTGCAAGGCTCTGTGTGAATATGTGGAATACCCGACTAGCCGAGCCAGCTGGTCTCTGCGGCTGAGCAATTCTTCCAAACAGCTCAACTGACCAGCATTGGGGTAAAGAAAAATTTTGTAAGCAGCTTCTCGCACCTACATCGAAACAGCAGACGATAAAAGATGTCAATATCATAATACGAAGTCCTGTGCAATAATAATACAGGCTAACGCTCACCACTTTATTTTTCAGGTGATCATTGTTATAAAAATAAAATAATGGTTTGCACAAGGTCAACGAAGCTTTGAGACTCATGAGCTAGCGTGAGATGCAAGAACATGCTGGACAGGAGTCCTCTGTGGGGGGTGTGGTCAGACACAGTGTGGCCAAAGCACGTGCCACAGAGCACCTCCAACCAGGTGACGTGAAGGCCCACGTGCATTAAGGAATCTGAGTAGTCTAGAATGTCAGTGACTGCTGTTATTTATCATACTGTAAAAATGAGTTCTTCCTAATGCAAAATTAAACCACTTTCATCATTCAAAGCATTAATGGAATTAATAATCCCAACGTTAAATTGTTAGGGCTCAGCAGCAGAAACGTGGTTTCAATGGTCGGGCTGTGTCATCACGGATCTGGGGTTAAGGCAGTAGCAGCAGACAGACGGGACCCGCCCTACGAAGGGAATGAGCACATGTACCAAGTCGTCCGGCGCTTCTGCATGCAGGCCGTCCACTATGACATGGTCCCCGGCGAGAGCAAAGCTCTGGCGAACGCGCTCCGGTAGGAGATGCTTCTCTATCTTGGCGGGCAGGTTGGCTCCCATGAGAAACGTGCTGCTCAAGTCCAGGAGCCTAACATGCAGGTCCACTGCTCTTCTGCGCTGTGCGTGGGGGACAGCGGGAGTCACTTCGTGGCATTTAAAGAAGTGTTTGAGGACTAACCTAACAGATCGTCTATAAAGATGGCAAACCCACATTAATACTTGAATTGTCACTTAATGATATCAAATGTGCTAAATAATAAAACGAATACTGAATATATTCATGCCCTGAGTAGACAGCGTACTGTACTACGTTAACTCTGTTTCTGAGAGACACTTAATCTCCAGAGAAGAGTGTCATCCTCAGGGGGGTACAGGGTTCCCAGCTGTAAGACTTACGCAGCTTCTGCAGTTCTACTTCATGTCCAGGCCAGGTAACTGATCTTCGAAATTAACTGCACTAGGAAGTACAGAATCTTCCCTTATCCCCCCAAAGACCTCTTAGTTAAGAGAACTAGTTGGAGCCAGTTAATACAATGCCTAAAAGTACTTTTAGATGAAAAGATTAAGTATTTGAAAGGCAGGCGAGAAAAGGCACTCAATCTTTGAAGATTAGACTAAAAGGTGGGGGAAGAAAAGGAATTACTGCAATTCTTCACAAGAGCGTGGAGAACCTCGTGAGCAGGGGAGCACCCTTTACAAGCTTGGACTTGCACAGACTAGGGTGTCTGGGGAAGGACAGTGAGGGGCGGTGAGAACCCGACTGGCGCCCCAAGGCCAGGGCCAAGGCTGCATGGGCCTGCCAGGCCCCGCCTGGCCCTCCCTGTCCAGGCCTTGGGGCGCCGCGGCGATGAAGGGCCGGTGCTGGCACACCTGTGAGAGTTTCCTGTCTTGCAGTTGCACCTCTAGGACACAAACCCCTGAAAAACTGAGTATCAGTAAAGGGTAACGCAGATGTCCCGGGTGAGACACAAACTGCAGGGGAGGAGTGCTGGGGGCTGAGGGGTACTCCTGGGAAACTGGACGGGTGTCGGGTGAGAGCGCGAGCCAGTCTTTCTGGGACTGGTGTGTCAACAGTTCCGAGCAGAACCTAAAGTCTACCGTGATTTTAACAAATGATTAAGCAGCACTATTTTGAAAATAAATATACAAGGTGCAGATGTGCACTGATAAGATGGTAAAAAGTGAGTATGTATTAATAACCCCAAATTTTTAATATGGAAGTTTTAAACTTCATGCGAAAACAATTTTTCAGATTTCCCACATATCTTTTCTGTCGACTTCGTTTCTTATGTGGCCAATTAGCATCACCTAGTGGTAATAAGCGGAATAACAGAAACGATCAAAGAAAAATTCCAGGGTCTTTCCAAAAATTTCCTCCAAAGCTGTTATCATGAAAATAAAAAACGACAAAATTAATTATTCAAAAGTACTTGTCATCTGTTGAAATTCCTGAAATGTAGAAACTGGGTTTACTTCCCAACTTCACCAACAATCAATTGGCCAGGCATTCACCATCCCGAGGTAACTAAATGCGCAGTTCTCTGAATTCTAAGATGCCTGTGAAATTATTATTTATTATATAATTGCTAGTATGTGTATACTTCCTTAATTTTAAACTTGTAAATTATATTCCATGAGAACTTTCAAATTAAAATTTTTTAAAAACCCAGAAAGAATGTATGCCTTTACAATTTGTAGTTCGTTGCTGGGTTATTTCAAGGTCCTTCTGTTAAAAAGCGCGACATGCCTCCCTTCTGTTCTGCCCAGTGGAGCACCTCTGGGAGCAGGCACAGGGGGGAAGGAGGGACACTCAGCAGGTCGACTTCACCTGCATCTTCACGTCCGTGGGGTCCCAGGGAGTTGCTTTCTGGGAAGGGCAGCTATTCTTGTAAAAACATGCAATGAAAGCAGCAAGGTCAATGCTAGTAAAACTGACCTTGACCTGATGCACACTACCTTTCAGTGAAGTTTCAAAAACATCTTTCATGAAGACTAAATAAAGTAATGAAACTAGCCAGCTGCATCTTTCCTCCGGAAGGTATCAAAGCTGATTAACACTAGCCGGCACTGTTGTGATTCAGTACACATCCACCCCGAGTTTTACTGAGTCCAGAACTGGTATGCACTGAACCACGGCCCACACTCTCTGCCCCTGACAAAACTACAATGCAGACAAGTGATGCAATAATAGTACCAGCAGCAGCAGCTGCAGGCGAACGCCACATTCATGGAATGAGTAAAACACGAGTTCCGGTGAACCTGGAAGACTGACAGCTTGGCAGACACCATGAGCTGAAGAGGGAGCCTTGCCAGGGATGGCCAGCAGGCAAAGCCGTGAGCATGTGGAGGGGGACACAGGACCGCCGAGAGGAGACACGGCCCCGTGTCTTCACTAAGGCGCAGGGAGAGCTGCGAGGGCTCTGCCGTGTGTTGGCTGCTGTTTGTACTTTTATAACAGGCAATGTGAAGTCACTGAAAGGTCTGGGCAGGAGAGGAACAGCCCTGCCGTTCGCAGACAGGACGCACGGACACCAGAGGGCCCGTCAGAAGGACTAGGTGGGCGGTCTCTAGAGCATCTGACATACAGGGTGGGCAAAAGTAGTTTACAGTCAGGAGCTGTTGAAACACAGCACTTTTTGTGTTATTATTTATTAATGATTGTATTATTTTTCACACTAACAAGTGTTGTGTGCCACTGACTAGCTCTGTGACCCTGGGTAACTCCCATAACCTCCAGGGGTCTCAGTTTCTCGTCTACAAAACAGGAATGACGGCAGCATCGGCCGTGACAGAGACCCGACAAGAAATGTTTTCAGCAGCAGATGCCGCATCACTGTTCACCAGGAGTGTCAGGAGGACAAGGGGCTTCTGGACAGCCTGGAGCCTGGGTCATGAGGACCAAGGTGGGTTGTTTCGGGGACACAGACAGGGGCAGGAGGGGCTCCAAAGGAGTCACTGAAGGACCTGGTCCCTGAGGAGACAGGAGGACACTGGGAAGGGGGAAATGCGCACTGACTCGGAGAGTGGGTGTGGAGACGTGGGCACTGGCCAGGGATGGGGGGGCACAGGGCGTCCGTCCAGGCTGTGTGAGTTCCCAGTACAGCCGCTCGGCCTGGTGGTGCCAGCGAGGCATGTGCTGGCTCAGGGTTTGGCCACGAGCCGCAGACTGAGCCCTCCGGGCCACAGACACATACATCGATGTGAGAGCGGCCCCCGGTGGCTGAAACCCAGCACCGACCACAATGGCAGTGGCTGTGGCACGTGACACGCACTCTCGATACTCTAATGAGGGGTCTGGGCAATACACAGGATGATGTCCCTCTGGCCCCAGCTCAGACCCTGCAGGACCCACACACACTGCGGGGACAACACTGGCCATCCACCGGATGCGCCTGCCACATGAGGTCCAGTGACATCCATGCACCGCACCTCCGGATCTCAGTCTCCCACAGGGACAAATCTCTGACTCCCTCGCCTTGTCCCTCCCGACGCTGCGCTCTCATCCTGATCCCAAGACACCTAGAACGCCCTTGCTGTGGGAAGCCATCTTTAATTCTAAATTACCACGGCTCACGGGCCAACTTCCCGAGAGCACTGCATTCAAACCCCTGTGGGAGAATTTCGGAATGTAAATGGCCCAAGCAGGTTTTCAGATGCAAATTCAAGCTGCACTGAGGCCACAGCATAAGGGCATCGATGAAATGCTAGAGAAACAAGACCCGCAACACAGGAAGGCGAGATTTACCTTTTCTTTCTCGAGATGGATTCCACTGATTTCAAAATCGAACATGAAGAGTTCAGCCACACGCCTGTGAGTAAAACGAGTGCCTGGTTATAAAAGGTAAGAGTAATTATTAACAAAAAAATCATTTTTTGCTAAGTGAATTGGCCTCTTCCAATCTTACTGACAAAAGGCTGGATGTTCCCCCTACACACACACACACACACACACACACACACGCGCGCGCGCGCGCACACTGCGTGTGAGCTCTGATGCGGGCGGTCCCTGTCTTCCCAGCGTGCTAACTGCACGGGACGCGTAAACTGAGCAGGAGGAGGGATGGTCCTCCACTGAGGACAGACGTCCCTGCTGCCGTTTTCTAGAGCACGTGGGAACCGTTTCAACCGTTCAGCTGTCTTCCCTCACAAAGCACTCCCTGCCCACCGGATGCAGCCGCACCACAGGCGGCCCTGCGGGGTGAGACCAGCCACGGGGCGACCTGCCCACACCCGACTGCCTAGCAGGCGCAGGTACCAACCGCACTCTAACCTGGCAGGGGCTACGCTGCGCTGCGTGTGTTCCACAGGGCACGGCCTCCGACGGCAGTGAGTACTTTTCCAATGAACGAGTAAATACAGGTCAAAGAAACAATACATCTGTTAACAGGGATGCAACAGTGTTTGCTGAGTTCGAGGAGAGAGGTCAGTCATGACCTCTCCTGTGGCTGCCACACTGAAAGCAGCACCTTCCAGTCCTTCTCTGCTACTGAAAAGCAGGCTCTTCACCGGCTCCAACCCACCCTCCACTTCCCCTGAGGCTTAACTTGCTGATGCCTTGAGGGAAGATCCCACACGATTTCCCTACTAGCGTGCCTTGCAGAGATCACTCTTGACCCATCACAAAATGCAGCTGCAAACTGAACGACGAGGCCTGGTTTTCCTAACCTTTCCTGAATGTCGCAACTCCATCGGAAAGTCAGGCACGAGCAGCAGCAACAACACAGAAGGCAGCGGAAGGGTCCCGTTAACACCTGCAGGGAGGGGTAGCTTCCCACCGGCCTTGCCCTGTAATAGTTCACACTTCGGGGCACACATTCCCTTTTGCACCACAAGCTAATCAATGCCATTTGCTTTCACATCAGGCACCAGGGACATAAAAATAGTGAATCTGAAGGTGCAGCCCCTGGGAGAAAATGTGTGTGCGCCGGACGGAGGAGACCCTCATGCTGCACCACGGAAGCACGGCCCCGCCCAACTCTCCAAGTGCGTGAGAGGGGAGCCAAGGGGCCTGACCTGCAGGAAGTCACGGGCTAACCCTGATCTCCACCATGACCGACAGACATCACGGGGCCAGGAAACAGGCGGCTGTCCCCTCACCCTGACAGCGCCGGGCACTCCGACAACACGACCTCGCCCCAGGTTGGAAGTGCTCAGCGTGACCAGCCACACACCTCTCGGCGACATCTCTCACCGTCCTCCACCACCACCCAGAGGCGGCAGCTGTGCTCCATTCGCATTCGTGATTTCCACTTTAAAAAACCTCGGGGCGAACACACGCGTTTTTACGACGTCACAGGGCGAGAGGCCTTCACTGCAGAGCCAGAAATGCTTTCCGGGTATTAGGTATAGCAAGCGAAGGAGGAACAAAAAGCAGCCTCAGCCAACCAGTGTTTAAACGTCAACATGTGTGATGTGAAACAAGAAAACCATTGTAACTGCCGTTTTGTGTGTAAGCCTATTCCCTAAACTGCAGCGCACGGACCTGTGTAGCCGCCGCGCTGCTTGCTGACTCCAACTCCGCCCGGACCCCAGTCATTAAAAACTGACCAGTTCACACTTGGGCAGTTTCTCAGAGACCCCTGCGTGAGATTTCCGGTTTTCCTTCTGACTGTTAACAGCTACTTGGAACGCTAGACTCTTTGATGCTGCGTTTCTTGGCTGATGAGACTGGTTTTCCTTTCAACCCCACTGCAAGCTCAAAGCCAATCTGAGTTAACAGCTCTCTCTGCTGACACTTTTTACCTTTTTTCCTGGAATCACGTCATCCTGGTATTTGGTCTACTCTTCTGGTTCTCGAGTTTTCATAAAAGACGCACTTATCTTTCTGACCATTGTGCTGATGTGCCCTGAATGAGCGGAGTTAAACTTCTTCTAAAACTCTGAAAACTCAACAGAACACATTCGTAATCTAGTCATTTACTTTCTTTCTCAAATAATGTAAAGCGCTTTACTCAAGCCCCTACCTACCCTCATTTTCTCTACCTTGTATCGACCTCTTCTCCGAAAGAGTTAATCTAAAAACGCTACTCCGCTCTCTTTTCCAACAAAGGTGTTTGCTGCTTGTCTTAATAAGAGGAAAGACAGACTACAGAAGTGCAGAATTTGGGGATGCAAATTTATTCTGTAAGTTTATTGCATAACAGCTTTACTGGAGAAAGGTACGAAAAAAGTTAAACTCATAATCCCACCGAAGATAAGCACTACTCAAACTCTTGCAGTATTCTCTTTTTTCAGGGCCGCGAAGACCACGTTCACTAAGTCGGAGGCATCGGTGCCGTGCCCAGCACATGGCAGGCACTGGGGACTGTCTGCTGAGTCTGAGTGGACGGAGGGGCGCTACAAGTGTCCCCTCACTCGGGATGGCCATCGCCCTCAGGCACAGGGCCAGGCAGGCTGGGGGCTGGGGAGACCGGTGGGCTGCTGGTCCTGAGACGCCCACGCGGGGGCAGCACCTCTGTCCCCTGTGGACACGGAACGGGGGTGGCTAGCGTGGGGCTCACACCAACCACGGGAACACTTCCTGGTCTCCCGTCCCACCTCCTTTCACTGGGCTACGTGGCTCCTACACAGGGACTGAGACGCGGCCACAGGGGCTTCTCTGCCTCGCTTTCCCTAGAAAACTTGTGCCACAAACACTGACTATTTTGCTGCACCTCTATGCTTCAAAAACATGGCTTTCACTTGCCTTGCCTATAAGGCTACCTAATGCGGAGTGTAACAAAGTTCTCATAAAGACTAACCTCGGGCACCAGGGCCCACGTAGCGCAGCAGGACCACCAGCCCCTGCACGCCGGGCGGCTGGGGGACAGCACCCCAATGGCCTCGCGGTGGGGAACCCCCGTGCCCATCATCAGTGGTCCTGGTTGAGTAGCGGTGCACTGGGGATCACAGGCCACATGGAGACAGGAAGGAGAAGGGGGCAGGAGGGAGGGAGGGAGGGCCGAGGAGTCGGAGAAGAAAGTGTCCCAGAAATAAAAAGTGGCCGCAGGTAAAAAAACACATCGATCTCTGTGCTGAGACACGAACAATATGCGGGGGGGCCACCGACAAACCCTTTACTTACACTGTAAGTAAATAACTGGAGCAAAGGCATGCACTCTCCGAAGTCCTATGCCAAGTATTTTTGTCTATTAACACAGCAACTTATCAATGTAGATCGATCAATGTCATCTAGTGAACCAAAGCAAACCCTTTTAAGGCTCTCGACAGCGCCCAGCAGGTGAGGCCGGTCCGCCAGCACCTTCTGGCGGCATCCGCGACGGAACTCCAGGCCCAGCGCTAAGTGTGAGTGCCCGCTGTTCACAGGTCTCCACGCCCTGGTTCGGCAGCCACTGCAGCCCCGTGTGTGGCAGGCGCCCAGGACATAGCAGTGACCACCACCACCCAGACCCTGTTCTCAAGGGGCTTCAGTGAGGCAGAGAAATGGGACGTTAACCCACGAATAGGGTGCTGCAGGGGGAGAGCAGCCGTGAGGGGTAGGCCTGTGCGGGGATCACACCCGGACCCCCGGGGCCTTCCGCCACCCCCCGGCCGCAGCCCCAGTGCCCGCGGGGAGCCGCGCACCTGGTCTCTGGGTCGAGGGAGTCCATGAGCCTTTTATCAGCCAGCAGTCGCTGCAGACTCTGATACAAGTCCACATTTGTGTTCAACCTAGGAAAACCACAAACGCAGAGGTTAAATGAGTCTCTTAACACTTTCCTCCTGGCTTCACATCAAGGGAGTGACATCGGCTGCAGCCTGAGGCCCGAGGACCGAGTTTCGCTCTCGTCCCCGCCTCTGGACCAGGAGCAGCGTGGCCACCATCAGCGCACTGGCCCGGGTCTGCTGGGCACACGTTCAGTACGAGCCATCTGGAAGGGTCAAAGACAAACTTGAAGTCGGTCAGCAGCTGGAGCCCGAGGGGCAGGCAGGAAGGAGGGGAGGGGGCAATGGGGTCCCTGGCCATGTGACGGACCCCACCACTGAGACCGAGTCCTGAGCTGTGCACCCCAGGCCCAGTGCCACTCTGCTCACCTGGTTGCCCGTGGCAGACCCACACTACTGGGGGTCGGCGGAGGGGACGCAGGGACTCTGGCTTCAGAGCCACACTCTCGGGGGGCAACACAGGCCCACAATACATGGTGACCGGGGCCAAGCTGTTGGAGCCCCTGGCCTGCTGGGCCGTAGGCCGCCCTGAGGGTTAACGAGGTGATGTGTGTGCACCGCACACTCCCCACGCTAATGGTATGAGGTGGCCTGTGGCCACCCCCACAGACAAGCAGCCACAGCGCCACCCTCAGGTCTCCGCTCCTTCCCCATGCTGGGTGCCAGAAGGCCTGGGCACTCTCAGCGGTGAACAGTGCTGGTCCTGGACACAGATGCTCCGGCCTGCTGTGCCTTGGGGAGGGGTGAGGCTATGAGAGCCACCTACTTGGACACCCCTGACGGCTGGGTTCCCAGTTAGGTCACCATCAACATCCCGCAGTGTTAAATCAAAGGGTTTCTGCTGCCACCACCCTCACAGGCCACCCTGAACACCAAGGGAACTCGGAGGCCGTCGCCTCTGAGGGAAAACACTCACGAAGGCAGGCACGCCACCTCCTCTCCACCCCAGACGCCCTCCCAGGGACCGGGAGAGAATGTCCTGTCCGTCTGCTCCAGGCCTGCTCACCTGCGCGCTGCCCCGTGTCAAGGGAAGCAGGACGGGGCGGCCTGGGCTGGACCCTCTTCAGAAGTTTGAGCGAATCTCCCACACTGCGTCTCCTGCGGTGAGACCCTCACATGTCTGAACTTCAGCCTACAACCAGCACTGACTCTGAACACACACACCCAACGGAGGCTTTCCCCACTGCCGCAAAAGACGTCGGATCTGCACGTACACCTAAAACCATCCTACTTCTCACAGACCAACTGAAGAGGGGGGACAGGACATGGTCAGACAAGAAGGGAAGCAGACCCCAGTGCCCAGTGAGAACGGAGAGTGAGGCTCTGGGTCATGTGGGGGCCTGGCCTTTGGGCTCCTGCAAAGACCCCAGGGCAGAGTGAAGAACAGGAGACAGGACACTGCCCAGGTGCAGGGAGGCCTCTGGACAGACACCCTGACGACACTTCACACCACTCAGGGTTCCCTGCCAGTCTCCCAGACAAGTCCACCACACCAGACGGAGCCTGGGCACCGCAGGCAGGTGACCGCGGCTTGGCTCAGGCTCCTTTCTCGGGGCTTTCCCTAGGCCAGGGGTGTCAAGCTCATTGTCACCGGGGACCACATCGGCCTCATGGCTGCCTTCAAAGGGCCAAATGTAATTTAGGATTGTATAAATATAACTACTCCTTAACAGTTAAATGATAGCTCAGCGCTGCTGCTGGGTAGAAACAAGGTGCCAGGCCAGATAAATCAAGGTGGAGGGCCAGATTCGGTCCTCAGGCCTTGTGTTTGCCACCTGTGCTCTAGGCGTGTTTGGTTTTCCCTAGCAGTCCCCATTTCAGCTCCTTCTTCACCCTCACTCTGGAATCTGCGGGGCCCAGATTCAGCCCATTCAACACTATGAGGAATGGTGACAACAAAAATCGCAGGCCTTGTCCCAAAGTGCACAAGCAACACTCAGCGGGGTGAAAGCAGCAGCAGCAGCAGCAGCAGCAGCACACCCTGGAGCGCGAGGCTCCCAGGAAGCCTCATTGGACCAGAGAAGCCACCTGCTCCCTCGCCCTCCTCCTGCCAGCACTGGTGTGTGGGAGGCTCCCGATGCTGACCGGCCCTGGTTTCTCGGGTACGAGGTGGTGCAGGGCGCACCAGAGCTCTCACTGCCTTCGGGACTCACGCCCGACTTCCCGGCATGCATTGCAGTTTTGAACACAGCACCGTCCGCCTCTGAGCTCTTCTAACGAGCACCGTGTTGGTCTCGGAGAGGACTTAAAATATTTAAATTGACCTTAAAGTCACTTTAAAAGAAACCACTTCATTACAGCCACAGGGACTGCAAGGCCACTGCAGGGAGACAACGCTGGCTTCTCGCCCCATGGTGCCCAGCTGCCCACACAGCAGCAACTGAACCACATGGCAGGGGATCTGGAAACTCCCGCTTGCCACTGGGGTATGAAGAAACCCTTCCATCTCAGAAACAATGATAGTGAGGCTGCAGTTTGCTGTGTTCCTGACATGGTTAAGAGCACTTTATAGTTATCATTTTATTTTCATTGCGACCCTAAGAAGCAATTCATTTTATTACATTTACAGACAAGGAAAGTGATGGAGAAAACAAACGCTGAGCCTCCAGGCAGGCTGTTCATGCTGGGAAGGTGGGTGTGGCGGCCTGGCCCCGGGTCCCCCCCACGCCCACCGCCCTGGGTGGCTGCGCAGGGTTCACACACCAGCCCCCACCCCACTGAGGGGGACAAGCCAGGGAAACATTTCCCGGAGCGTAAAGCCACAAATCTGCATCACCCGGTGTTGTCACAAGGGAACGGAACCTACTTCTCCACTACAGTGCCGATACTTCTACAGGCTTCTTCCGCCGCCTCCCTGAATGCTGGCTCGGGGTGAGCAATTTTCACGAAGTCAGCCTGTTGAAGAGGGGAGAGAAAACCAAAGGGAACTGGGTGGGAGGCTCTCCTCCAAGACCTAAGGGCAAAATGAACCCTGCGATGACAAGTGCCATCTGGCTTGGCCTGCGCACTTCCGTCCTGAGACCTTCTCACTCACAGGGCAGAGCATGGGAGACGAGTGAGTGTCGGTCCGCAGACTTCAACACTTCCAGAGTTTCTCTTAGAAAAGTCTTTCTCCTTTAAACATAAATACCTGCTACGTGAATGCTTCCAAATTCTATAGTTCCAAAGAGTGGCCTCTTGGTCAAGATTCTAAAACTCTCTAATCAAACTGGCGCTCACCATGGTTCTCCGGTAAAGCCCAGCTGCAGAGAACAGCCCCTGGGGGTTCTTCTTGCGTTTACACTGACACACACTATAGTTTCAAGGCCGACCTGACTGCGTCCTAGCTTTGGTGCAGAAAACGAAGGCCCACTTTTCTCTCTTTGTAGCACCTCGAACAAGCTGGGTCACCCAGGCCGAGCCAGACAGTGCACGGCCACCGGCACTGGGGAGGCTGCTACACTGACCTGGGCCTCAGCCGAGCTAGAATTCCTTCTTTCCTTTTCATGAAATCATGCAAAAACTAGAGGTTACTTTTAATCTTAACGGCAGTACATTGCAAAAGAAAAACATAGGAAAACTACAAAACATTACACATTTTTTCCTTCATTCTGTAAGAAGAAAACACATATGACTTATCAAATCACCACAGGTAATATTTCCTAATTTTTTATCAAACAGTTGTCAGTGAAAAATGTTTAAACACAATTTCATACAACGTTTATGTAACAATGACACTAGTACTAAAGTACCTGAAAAACGAGCCATGACATTAACATATTGTATAACTCACCCATTTACACTGTCGCAGAATTTACAATCCATATTAAAATTTAAAACACTAGCATACACTTAAAATTCATTTGCAACAGTGATGAGGAAAACAAGACTTACATAGCAACTGTACTGAAAAAGAAACCAAACTGACCACTTGGTGGGAAATATAGTTTATAAAATTGATGTCTTATAATGGTATCAAACTTACTGGCAGGTAAAAACTTCAAAAGTCAAAAAGAAAAAGGTACTCTGAATATTCTTCCCCCAAGATTCACATAATTATTAGTATTTAATGAGATAGTATATTTCATAAATACAAAAACCATCAAAAACAGGACAGACCAGGGACAGAGAAGTAACATCTTTTAGCAAAGAGCAAAGGCAAAATGGTGGACTAGCCCAGAGCACCGCATGGCTCAACTGAAATGAGGCTGAGACCACAAATGAACAGGGAGCCCTGACCACATGCAGTGACCACTGCAGACAAGCGCCCCCTTCAGGCCGCAGTGATAGAGCAGAGGAGGTGCCAGCCCTCCTACGTGCACACGGCCTGCTGAGCACCTGCACACACTTCCTGACGGGGGGCGGAGGCCACTGGGGCGGCAGAGCCTGTGCCCATGACCTGACCACCAGGAGCCCACAGCACATCTCCCGCATCCCGGAGAAGCCCTTCTCGGGGCTCTGTGAACGCCCTCGCACTAGGGAGCTCATCCTGCCTGTGTGGCCATCTGAGAGGTGTCACTGCTCGATTCAGGGTGTGCAGAGACGACTTTCTGAACAATGAAAAAACAAACGCAAGGAGGGTAAAAGAAATCAACCTTGAAGGTGTGAACGATTCCAAACATCTGACATTTTAGAAAAGACAAACCAGAGAAGAGCTAAGAGGTGAGAAGTGGGGGTAACGATTAAAAGAAGCTTTTTTGGCCCTGGCTGGTGTAGCTCAGTGGAGTGAGCACAGGCCTGTGAAGCAAAGGGCTGCCGGTTCGATTCCCAGTCAGGGCACATGCCTGGGTTGCAGGCCAGGTCCCCAGTAGGGGACACATGAGAGGCAACCACTTACTGATGTTTCTCTCCTACTCTTTCTCCTTCCCTTCCCCTCTCTCTAAAAAAATAAATAAAAAAAATATTTTTTAAAAAAGCAGCAGCGGCTTTTTTGGAGTGATGGAGAGTTTATGCATCCATGTGTGGCTACATGAAAAATGAATTAAAATCCACAGAGCTTACTACCCTGCTAATCAATTTTGCTATGTGATACTTTAAAAATACCTAAGAACTTTTTTAAATGGTGGGGAGTCTGGCCAACCCCCCAGCCTCTCCAGATAGGGCTCGTCAGACCGGAGCAGCTGGCCGCCCCACGGCGGGGGTGCAGGCCAGCAGGCAGGTCAGGGGCCCGCAGTTGGGCTGCCTGGACTCATGCCCAGTTCACTGCCGACAGGCTGGCTGGCCTTGGACATGTCGCTCGGCCTCTGAGAGCCTTCCTTTCCCCATGTGAAAATCAGACATGGTGAGACGGTCTCATCAAGTAACCCAGGTAAGCGGTTACCAGGGCCGGTGCCTGAGAAACCGAACAAACAGCGAACACCGTGATGCTTGGTGAGGTCGGAGCCCGCGCCCCTCCTGTTCACAACTGTGCGCCCATGCGGAGAACACAGCCTGGCCTGTGGCGGGGCCCAGTGTCAAACGGATGTGAAGGGGGAGCGCACATAGCTCAGCACCGGGGGCAGCAGCGTGAGTCACCACGTTACGTGCCCCTTTGCTGTCACAACTGATCCGGCTGTCACTCTCCCGGGTCCAAAGGTCACACCTTGTGTCTCAGCAGGGGGTTTCTAGTGGGTGAAGAGACCCAGGTACATTTCTATTTCAACTTCAAAATGTTAAGGAAAAAACTCCTTAATATAATTGGTTTGATGTTAAAATCTTACTTTTAATTGCACAACACATTATCTACACTGTTTATAAAAACTGTTTTTATAAGATTAATTTTATTGTAAGTGAACAGAAAATTTATTAGAATTTTCGTTGAACATTTTCATAAATGAATCTTTGTCATACAGAAAAACGTCATATGATTAATTCTTTTATTACATATTACATGTACATTTCCTTAAATATGTATCTTAAAGTACAAGTTCTAAATACCACCTTTTCCTACATTTTCCCATTCTTAATGACAGACTTCACTGCAACAAATTATACCTAACAGCTCTCAAACAGTGCAGACATTTTAACCTTACAGTCTAACACTACACCTCGTAAACTTATTAACTGTTCACAGTTTGGCAGAGGGGGGTTTCAGGTCTCACGGCAAGTCTTACCAAGTCCGCCACCCGGCAGAGGACGTCGGAGAGCTCGTCGAAGATGTGCACGGTCTGCGGCCCCGGCGGCGTGGAACACGCACGTGCCACCAGCAGGTCCGTCTTTCTCAGGGCATTTTCTTGGGCCACACGGAATCCTTCTGGGGCACTGAGCTCAGGAACTCCAAAAAGCCCCTGAAATTCAATGAGTATTTCCAATTTGTTATTTAAAATATGGCCTTTTAGTATTATGTATAAATACTTCTTTCATAAAGAATATCTTGGGTTTTGCTGGTTTATTATATATTTGAATACCTGTGACCATATATATCATCTCCTACTGCCCATGTTTTAAAAGTGTCACTTTTCTTCAATTTTTGATTATTTTATTAAAAAACAACATAATACAATGCAACGATAAGAGTTCAAAACCAAGCCGGCACCACTGTGGAACCTCACTCCACAGCACTTACTCACAAAACCTAAATAAGAAGACACGCGCTAGAGAACCAAACGCCACCTTGTCAGAGCGGCCGGCGTGCAGAGGAGACTGACGGATGCTCGCTGCAGTCGCTGCCAGCTGTGACTCTGGCCGCTTTCTCTCTCCACCTAGGCCTCAATTTCTTCATTAAGCACAGCCGGGATTTCAATACACATCTCACAGCTTTCATACAAGTACTGGGTTAGAAAAAATATGTAAAGTCCTTAAGACACCGTCCAGCACCTAGTGAGGTCCAAAGCACCAAGCGATTTCACAACTGTAAATCAGGGACGATGAGCAGATTATTGAGCACACAGTTCTGAGAGACTGGATGAACATGATAAACCAAGTCACGGGCTGAAACTGGCAGCAAATTTTATCCTTTCCAAAAGCATTTCATATTTTGATAAAGAAAAAAACCACTCATCTGACAGGGGGTGGGGCTTCGCCTTGGGCCGGCTGCAGCACACCTGCCCCGGTACCCAGCAGGGCGGGAGGAAGGCACAGAAGTGCACTGTGTACCTTACACAGGTTTCCCCGGTAAGCCCCGCAGTCCCGCAGAGCAGGAACCACCGTTCACCTCTCATGGGCTAGTTAACAGCTTCATGGGTGAAGGAAATGGCTGAGGTTGGGAATCAACCTTTGCAAAGCCAGAACCTTCGCAGGCCCCAACACCCCAGAAGCCCACACCTTCTCCACACTTCTCTGCGGAAATCTGTCTTCTGACAGGTCGAGTCCCTAGAAGCAAAACCCCGCCCTTCTTCGCACAGCCAGCTGGCCCCCGGCCCCCACCCCAGAGCGCCTAATACACAGGGAAGTGGGACAAATCACATTAACGAAGCAGATGCTGAACTTTGTAGATTACCTTTGTAGATGCTTCACATATCGGTTTTGGGAAATACCAGGCCTGATAAAAGCCTGGTATTCAGGCCTGATAAAGCTCACTGATTCTGCAAGAAGGGAAGTGAAGATGTCCACCTCTCGTCAAACTACACTAACAAGTTGAAGAAAATAAAGACAGTGGGGGGCAGAGCAGAACCAGAACCAAAAAATAAACTTGATTTTCACGCTGATTTCATGACTCAAGTACGGGCCAGTCCCACTTCCCAGGGCACCTGCCGATGCTTCCCTCAGAAATTCCAAATCTCTGACCTCAAGGTGTGGCAATACTAGAAAACTACATGAACCTTTCTGTTTTCGGTCAAAAAACAATTCATGTACTTGAAAATCTGGGTTCAGCACTTGCAATCACGAGGTGTCAAAGAACAGCAAAGCTAAAATGAGTTCTGTTTCAATCACCCCCACACCAAGCTCACGCTGCACTTCCCCCCACTCAGAACTCACAAGTGGTTCTCTCCACACCCATTACATTAACACCAACATATGTACCTGCCCGGAAGCTGGTGTGGCAAAAATCATGTGAAAACAAAGCTAATAGCGATAAAGTTAAAAAACACACAGTTAAGTTCACTGCAACCATATTCTACACTCTACTTTGTATGAGCGTTAATGGTATAATGAAGAAATTTTAAAAAGGAAAAGTCAAAAAGAAAAAAAAAGGAAAAGCCAAAGTGAAACCTAAAATGCTCAACATCCACAAAAGCAAAATAGAATGGATATCAGGTAAGTCCCTTTCAAGCCTGCCTTCCTTACACCTTTAATGCGGCCATTCAACACATGCTATTAATTGAGGACTGAAGACAGACACCATGCTGGGCAGCGTGGATACAGACATAAGTAGAAACTGAGGAATTCAGCCAGTCATTTCCTGCAGGCAGAACTCAATCTGACCCACTCCATGGGCCTGTAGGAAACTAACCTCTTCTCAAAAGATCTTTTTGTTTTAAGGAGGGGGGAAAAACACGAACGCCCAAAGCTTTGAAAAAATTGATGCAATTTCGAGCATCATGGAACTACTGACAGCACTGAAGACAAGTGTGTTTTTGCAAAAACAACACGTGACACCGCCTGTGCCTTCGCAGGGCCAGGCCCCTCAGGCACGTGCGAAGGGCTGGAGCACAAGTGAACAGGAGCAGGGTCTGGGCGGCGTGCAAAGGGAAGGTAGGGCCCTGCGAAAGGAGGGAAGGACCCGGCAGGCCAAATCACTTCCAAGAGACGTAGTTTCATGTTTCTGTGGAGCAAGGGATCATATGAAGACACGTCCCAGGACCCAAACTTGGGTGAGGGGAGCCCTGACGAACGTTCCGCTCCCTTTAACCCAGCCCCTCAAAGAGGTGATCGGCCAGGAAGTCACCGGGAGCGCTAACTACACCCCGCTGTGCAACGTGTTCGCAGCCCATCTTCTTCCGGATCCCGCAAAATCCGTCCCCATTCCCGCCCCGCGGAGAAGGGGACCAGTTTATCCCGGGTAAACGAGCGGGGCCCCAGCTCGCGCCGCTCACCCGGCGCTCGCCGAACAGGTCCAGGCGGCTGCCCTGTGGCTTGACATTGAAGGCGGCACCCACCGGAGACCAGCTGGTGCTGACCCTTCGGAGCCCGGCGCCCAGGAGTCCCAGGCACGCGCGCCCCGGCAGCAGAGCCGCGGCCCGGGCGGCAAGGACCCCCGACAGTCCCTTACTCAACATCGCGACCGCGCAGCAACCCGCGCCCCACACTGCCGCCCCGCGGGGAGCCGGGGCTTGACTCTCCGAGGCAGCGGGCCAACGCCGGTCACGTGAGGCCCTCACGTTCCAAGCGGAGAATGCGGCCCTCAGGACGGGGGCACGTCTGCGTGCCCTGGGCAAGAGCGTCGCCTTGCCTGCGGCTCAGCCGCCGCTGCGATCTTGCGCCCCCTTGTGCCTGGAGTCAGGAATGGCCAAGGATTACCTTCCCACCCAGTGACATTTCCTTTCCTTCTCCCTAATGTCCTCTACATACAGACCAGACACAAATCATAAGATGGCTTCTTTGAGCACTACGGTGGTATCAAAGCTGTCTTCCCACAAGAAACACATATACAAAAGATTCTTCAGATAATGGAAATGATAAAAAATTGCAAATACATCACAATAAACAATCCAGATATTTAAAAATTTACTCTTAGGAAAACAGCAAATTACACAGAATTAGTTTTAGAAATAACGCCCCCCACTTTCACCTTTTCATGATGATTACAATAATGAGCATTAATTAATACAGCAAAATCACCTAATCACGTCTTCACCAAGCCACAGTTCTCCGTCATTCTGCTGCACAGCAGGAAGCCTGTGAGAGAGTTGGCATCGTCCCCACCTGCGCACAAGCCATTCAGCCCCTGCCTCCTGTCACCTGCATCCACACTTGGTCCCCAAGCCTCAGCTGCAGCGCAAGGCCCGCAAAGGGGGATCCTCGGAGCTAGCTCATCTCACCTTCTTCCATGTGTGAAAATTTTACCCCATTTTTGACCCAAGATCGCTGCACGTTCCTGGAGAAAACGTGGGTTCTGGCCACGCGGAGGTCACTTTGGCCAGAGCAGGAGGGAGCAGGCCTAATGGCTGTGGGTTCAGTGGAGGGTGGGAGAGGAGGACTGGAGGCCGTGCTCTGAATCAGTCTTGCAAGGAATTTGACTTAAAAGAGAAGAAATCGGGAGGTAGCTGGAAGAAATGGGATCAAGACAGTGGTCTTTCAGGGCCCGTGGTGGGATGCTCAGGAATATGGGGAGGTGGGGGGTAAAGCATTAAGCAGCAAGGCTTTTGTTTGACTTAGAGGGACTCGGAGAACGGCGAGCAGCAGGGCAACTATTGCAATCCCCGTCTGTTTTTACTCTGTGATTCACACTGGGCAACGCTGCTTCTGTATTGAGTCTGGCAACCAGGAGTTTGCTTAACCTTTTCATGTTTTATTGTTTTAACCTTAATTATTGAAAATATTTTTAGTCTTTAATTAGAGCTGACATACAATATTAGATTAGTTTCAGGTGTACAACGTAGTAATTAGATGTTTATATAACTTGTGAAGTGATCCCCCCACCTGGCACCACGTGTACTTACTAACTTGATTCCAGTGATTATTATTGGCTGTATTCCGTAGGCTGTACTTCACATCCCGTGTCTGTTTTTAGAACTGGAACTTTGTTCTTTCTAATCTCTTCCCCTTTCTTCACCCACCCCTCTAACTACCCCGCATCTGACAGCCATCAGAATGTTCTCTGTACCTACGAGTTTGTTTCTGTTTGGCTTTTTTGATAGTTTAGATTCTACTTTTACATTCAGCTTTTAACTCTTGAGGTAGGAAATAGAAGACAAATCCACAATTCTTATAGGAACTGCTTGCCACATCCTTTTCCAACCATGTTGTCTGACAAAGTCCGGGCATGGAGGATTTGAGTTCACAGAATTCATCTCCCCGGAAGAGAACGTGGCATCCAAAATGGGTTAACAACTGGCTGTTTTATTTTAATTATTTTACTCTTGCTACTGAATATAAACATTGTACTGTACTTACTTATTCCTGTGAAAATCACCAAAGAGGAAGGGACAATTCAGGGGAAAACATTAGTATCCCCCCACAAAACTGCCTGAAAGGATGGAAAAATCCCCTCTAATGAAATAGCTCCTGAATGTCTAAAAGTTGTTGGAGTAACAGCCCCTCCTTTACCTTGAATAAGAGTATATATCGATTGGACAGGCAAAGAAATTTAAAAAGGGCTGGTTAACTATTGCAAACTAAACACGTAGAAACAGTTACTAAGGAGTCAGAGTTTATAGTACACAGAGAAACATTTTAGACAAAAAAAGGATAGATAGCTAAGTTAGACATCAAAAAGGCCTTATAATAAATTTCCTATTAACTCTACTCAATCCAGCATATCCTTTTACCCCATGACAAATTCTGAGAAACTTTAATATACAATAAGACATTCAAATTCTGTACATACAGCTACTTCTAATTGTCTGATTAATGGCTCTCCTGGTCAAAATAATCTTTGTTTATTATACCTGAATCTACGGGAACTTTCATACTTTTCCTGGTTACCTTTGTATTGATTTTTTCTGCTTAACTGATCATGCTATACTGCAAATGTTAATCACTACCTAAAATGAAAATATAAAAACCTGCTTGTACTTGCAATAAACAAAACAGAGCTTCACTGTCCTTTGAGGCGTGATGTCGTCTGTTACCCAGCACCGACGCTTACCCACCTTTGGGACCCCTGGACCCTGCCGAGGCTGGACCCCAGCAACTATTGATCATAGGTAACAATAAATGTCTCCATCCCGTTTTCAACTTATTTCTCTCAGGCATTAAAAGCTACACTTGAAACATAATACTTCTAAATGTGAACAGCAAAAGCACCCATCCCACTTATGCTTATAATTTAAACACTTCTAGCTCGTTACTTGCATCTCTTTTCTCCTCCTCACTGGAAAGCCCTGACTTTTTAACCTGCCCTCAGGGGGCAGGCCTCCTGCTCTCTGCATGCGGTAGCTTGACCTTCTCCGGACCCCAGGTGCCATAATGTGCTTCTTAAAGCAGGATGTCACACAGAGTAAAGCAGGACAGCACACAGAGTTGTTCCTCGTGTGAGCGCGTTAGGGCTTGAACAAAGCAGGTGGAAAGTTCTGTTTGGTTTCCATTCTGATCCCAGAGAACTCACAGTGCAGAGAAGTCCAAGGCCTCAGCAGCCATGGGGGAATGACGATGTCTTCAAGCTCCACTTGCAGAAACTCTCAGATTCCTTCGGAGGGTCGTGAGCTGGGCACCCACTCGTACAGGCCTGGGAACCACTGCACTCGCTCTCCCTCTGTTGAAGGTGAATAAGATGTATTGTAAGTGAACACGCCACTTATAAAGGTAGAGAGTGAAAGTCTGGGTCTTCCCACAAGCAGATCCTGCAGATCCTATTCAAGGGCAAGTTATTTATCTGGGGGGTCTAGGAGAGAACAGAAGAGGGAAAGTGACCCAAGGGTGGGAAGAAAGCCGACAAAGTGCGCGTTGTCAGGCCAGCCATTGCTGTGGTTGGTTAGAGCTCACACCCGAGGGGAAACTTGGTGAGACCTCGTGGAGTGCAGAGCTTTCCGCCTGAGGGACAAAGGGGCGGGGCCTTCACACACATCTGTCGGTCATGGAGGAGGGCCGCCCTGACTCTTGCACTGCCAGCCTGCCCCTCAGATAAGTCCCTTGGGCAGAGAGATGCAGAGGGTGGCTGCTTGGCATTAGCTGAGTGTGTAGGGGGGACACAGAAGGCAGACATTGCCACCAGGCAGGGAGCACTGGGTGCACTTGGCTTTGACCGGGATTTCCAAATCCCAGCTGAGTACGGAACACCTGCTCCTCGGCCCTCTTACACATGTGCTGAGGGACTCCAGGTTGAGAAAGGAGTGTGCACCAGGGGCACGAATTTAATGTGCTCCACAAGAAGCCTTAAGGAAATAAACTGGCTGTTCTAGAACCCGCGGGTTCACCCACCAGGACATCCTGGATTCCCTGCCTGTGTCATGAAAACCGAAGGTGGCTGGTGCAGCTGAGGAACTGATTTTTAGAATTGGTTTGCATTTCAGTTATTTAAAATTGGAATCAATGCTAACACATGGGGCTCATGGCTACCTCATTGGACAGTGCGACCCTAGAGGTATGCCACCTCCAGGACACGGGGAGAGATGGCCTCTCCTTCCAACAGGAAGTACACAAGGTCAACAGCGGTCCCAGGTGCTGCTGGGAGCCGTTGTGTCAGCGCGAGACCAGCTAACCTGGGGTCGTGGAGGAGAGACATTGGAGTCAAATGAATGAACAAATTGTGGGCAAACAGCAGCAGAACTCTGATGGTTTTGTGCCTACAGCCCTGTTAAGCTTTTATTGATTTCCTCTTAAGTTGTCCAATAAACTCCCTTAGTTATTTAAACAGCTGAATCACAGTTTCTGTTACTTGTAGTTCAACAGATTCTAGCTTTTGGAGCTCTGCCCTCCCTTAAGTAACTTGCAGAATAAAATGCCCAATATCTGGAAGGACATTTTCTATCTGTAAACAAGAACACTTTCTTGTGTTCTTTAATCTTTAAACATTTCTTAGCATCTTGACATGCTTCAAACACACACCCAAGTCCTCTAGTGGTCCTCAGAGCTGTGCTCTCATTTTCCTCTTGGTACAAGTATCCCCTAACTTCTCCCCGCCGGAGGGATCTTAACAGTAGTTCTGAGTTGTTTTGGTCTCCCTCTGATTGTATCAATATTTTACTATGAACGATTACAAGAAATCATCTTTTCAGAGATGGCAATGACAGGAACTAGAGGGAAGAAACACTCACTGGGCCAAGGAGAGATTCTGTTTGTTCCAACAAACAATAATGCTTGTGGCGCGTTTTCAAGAACCACAGAGAGCGGGGTGGATGCAAGCAAATGGGACTGACGGTATTCACAAAGGGGGGCTCGGCTATGACTGAGGGGGTGAGAAGGGAGGCTGGCCCCAGAGAGGTCAGCAGCCAGGTGGTTATTTCATCGCTCTTTAGAAGGGAAGGGAGACTAGAGGTCATTCCTGGTCCCATACGAAGTCCCACTGGGATGGAACTACAGAGGAGCCAGCTAGCAATGACCGTACTCCTCTGTGTGCAGCAAAAAAAAAAAAAAAAAAAAAAAAAAAATGCTGGGTGCTGTGAAAGGCCAGGGTTCAAGGTCAGTGCCCTGGGAGGAAGACTAGCTAGCTGCTCCAGGAAGATGTGGCATCCAGAATACATCAGGTTTCTATGAGTTATCAGTTATCCTTGTCGCCAGATTCTAC